CTAAGATTGAATAGGTAGTTAGGAAGGAGAGCCAGAAGCCAAATCTTCTGACTGCCACTATCCTGCACTGCTTCACCAAGAAGCGATGCCCTGTCCTGCCCTCAGTGGGAGTCCAGTCTAACGGAGAGTCAAGAGAAACACCTGGGAAACAGTGCTCGGCAAAGATAATAATGGGGCCCAGACTTATCAGTACTATACAAGGTCAGGGGAGGAACCAATCAGTCTGGACTATAGCAGTCAGTCCTGGAAGGCTTCATGGAGAAGATGGGACTGGTTTGCCCCCTGTAGCACAAAGTCATCAGTTTTCAGATAGAAACCTTGAAGAAGGCTTTCCCCATTTTCTAAAAGAGGAAACAGAGGGGCAGGTTTTTTAATGAGGCTGTATGGAAATACTGCTGGAATTTGTTGTCAAAGTGCCTGGAGTTATTAAATTCTGGCGCAGCCACTTTTTCCCTGGGCAAGTCACTTCTCTCCCAGCCTCAATTTCCTCTTGTGTAAAGTGAAGGGGTTGGGCTAGGCAGCCAATGAGGTTCCTTCTGGTCTAGATCTAAGACCTCTTGGCCTAGGGCTCATAGGCTGCTTCAGCTGGAAGGGTCTTGTGAGGTGGCCTGCTCTGGCCCCTCACTTTACAGATGGAGAAACTGAGGCTCAGAAAGATCAAAATGGAAAGAGGAGATTTGGAGTCCTGATTCTGCTACTGATGAACTGCATGGCCTTGGGTGTGTTATAAACTCTCCGGGCTTCTGTTTTCTCCTCTGTAAAATGAGGGCAATAATCCTCCTGAGGAAAGGACTCTATAAATCTTTAAAGCTATAGGAACATGAGCTTTTATTATTTTGCCCGGCATTACATCCAGCTAAGCGGCAGGGCTGGGAACCCAGATAGTCCAGTTTCGAGTCCAGCGGATTTGGTTCTCTGAATCATCCATCTCCAGGCACAGGAGATAGGAAAAGGAATGCTCTCCTGAATGTGCTGCTTCCCCTGGGTCACGTGACATGATTTGGGGGTGAAAGAACAGGGCCAGAACCCAGGAATTCTGAACCCCACTCTCCAGTCTAAGCCAGTCTATACTGGACCAGGCTTTCACTGCAGAAGGTAGGGTACCTGAAGTCACTCTTGGGTCCTGGCACTGCAGGATTTCTTCCAGGAAGCCACATCATGGTGGGGAGATGACCCCGGGTTCATAGAGGCTATTTTGTGAACTGCAGTGCCTACTGTGTGCTGAGAAATACAAGGATGGCTCAAAGAACTTCCATTCTCTTGGAAAGGCTACCAGCCACCAGTAGATGATGGACTGTGTCTGTTGGCCAAGTGATCTGAGTGATCTTCCTCCATCTGGGTCTCAGATTCCCCCATCTGGCTCCATCTTAAGGGGCCTCCAAGTTCTAAATGCCATGGTCCTAAACCCATGGCCACAGGGTAAGGAATGTTGCACCCACAGAAGCTCTCTAAAGCCACTTACAAAGTCACTGAGGGCTCTGTTAATAGGGAAAGGACCCTTCCACACCCACAAAATCAGAGATGCCTGAAGTAAGCCACGAATCTAGTCCAGGGCTCTTAACTTGGGGCCAGCAAACTTAAAAAAAAAAAAAGACAACCATCAATATAATCTGGTGTATTTTATTTTGTACATTTAAAAGCGTGATTTTGGACAGGCTCCATAAGCTGACTGCTGGAGGGGTCCAGGCCACCCAATGGGTATGAAGAACTCCTTTAATCATCCAGTCTTTGCATTTTGTCACAGAGAAAACTAAAGCCCAGAGAGGAGAAAGGATCCCCTCTTGTCCAAGATCCCACAGTCAGTGAAGAAACAGAGTCAGAATTCAAACCCAGATCCTGGACTCCAAATCTCAGACTCCCACCCCAACCAGGTGCCCAGAAGCATGGGTTTACAACAGTTGGAGCTAAAGCCATAGTAAGGTGATTTCAGCCTCCTGGGGAAGTTAGTAGGGACCCGCCCTCTCTTCCTTTTTCTGAAAGCCTTCCTCTATTCTTGGCTTCCACCCTCCACTTTTCACTGGGGGAGGGGAAATCCACTCAGCCTGCTGGGCTTCTTGCCTGTCCCTGGGCCTGAGCTTTTGATCGTCTGCCAGGAGTTCACTTGGCCCTGGCTCTGTTTTCACACCCCTTGGAGATCACTGGGGCTGACAGGAAGTAGTCGGTCTGTGACAGCCCTCTAATCAGCATCTGAGGCCTCCCTGGGAAAAGATCGAGGGGTGGAGGGACCATAATTCAATGCTGTATTCTTTTTTTTATTCCAATGCTGTGTTTTTATATTTACTGGTGACTTTGGGTAGCACACTTAATCGCTCTGGGCTTCAGTTTCCTCATCTAAACGTAAAGGGCTTGAACTATGTGTGGTTTGTGAAAGGGATCTCCAAGGCCAAATATTCTAACCCTCTCATTTTACAGGTGGGGAAACTGAGGCCCATAGAGGTGAAGGGGACTTACTCACTATCATAGAATCATAATATGAGGAGCCAGAAGGGACCTCAGAGGTCATCTGGTCCAGCCTCTTCATTTTACAGGGAAAGACACTGAGGCCTAGAGAGGGATCCCACAGTAGTAAGAGCACGGGTTTCTGACCGCAGTTCCAGAACACCCTATCTCCCTCCCTAGGGACTCCCAGATGTCTTCCAGCTCTCGATATAGGACCCCATGATCCCTCCTCTGATCTGGGAACTGAGGAGAGAGGGAGGAGAGAAAAGAAGAACCAGAGAAGGAAGAATATTAGGATTCTGTGACCAAACATCACTGCCGAGGCCCGGAGAACCTCTGGCCACACTGGACAGCTGAGACTAGTTTGGGGTGTAATGGCAAGCTCCCTGGAGCTAGGAGACTCAGGTTTGTCTCCCACCAGCTTGCTGTGTGCCTTGGAGGCAGGCACTGAGGTGCTAAGTGCCCTCACTGAATTTCTCTAGAGTCTAAACCTTTGTTTCCCCACCTAGAAAATGAGGATTGGATTATGGTACCATTTAACTAGCTCTGGATAGGAATTCTGGGTTTGGATCCTGGGAAGCTTCTTCTCCTCTTTGGGCCTCAGTTTCCTGAGTTGGACCAGATGACTGGTGAGGGGCCCTGCAGCTCTGACAGGTTACTTATCTTCTCCAAAGTTAGTGAGGCTTTAACAACGCAGAGCACTGGACAGAGCTCAGTGAGCTAAAGGAATGGTGGAGTCTGGATGAGGTGGGGGGGTAGGGAGAGAGGAATCTAGCTCCCACTTCCCTCCCCAAGGGGCCCTGCTGGGAAGTCCCTTGGGGTCAGTCGCTTATTACACTGAGGCCCACTTCCTCTTCCTGGTACTTGGTGCACACCCCCGACTGCTGTTGCGCCCTTCGAGGCCCTAGCGGCCCCAACAGAAGAGGGAGGAGGGGGCCTGCTGTGACTGTGGGAGAGTTGAAACATCTTGAGGAAAGGGAAGCCTCAATCTCCAAAAACCTCAGTATCCCCGAGCTTCTGCGAGGTCCAGGGTATGCCCATTTGACAGATAAGGAGACAGGCCCAGAGAAGAAAAAGGACTTGCTACGGATCCAGTGGCTGGCAGTCAGGCGGAAGCACCTGGTCTCCGGGTCCTGTCCGCTTTCTTCTCTTTTTTCCTTTTGAAGGTGCTCAGCATTAGACTCATTACCAAAGCTGCCATTTGTTCGGCAGCCACTGAAGGCTCCCCAAAGCACTTGACCTGCAACGACAGCCTCCAGAGGTAGGGAGATAGTGCAAATATGATTCTCCCCATTTTATAGGTGAAGAAACTGAGACTCAGAGAATCATAGAAGCCTAGATCTAGAGCTAGAAGGAAACTTACAGTTCATCAAATCCTACCCCCTTGTTTTACAGATGAGGAAACTGAGGTCACATAAGCAACAAGTGGCAAAAGTAGGATCGGAACCCAGGACTTTGGACTCCAACTGAGCTCCACCTGTCCAGGATCACAGCTGCAGTGTTTGTATGTAGCCCAGCTGGTGAGGGCCAGAGTGGAGAGTCTAGGGGGCTGAGGAATGTAGGAGAGCATCTGTGAATTTCACCTCTGATACTATCAGAGAGCTGAAATCCGGGTCCTTCCTCTTCCCATTTCACCTTTTGTCACAGTCCATAGGACTCAGTCAATGCCTGTTCAATCCAGTGGGATTGGGCTGTAGTTTCTTCTCTGCAAAAGCAAGCAGATGGGACTCAGATCTCTGTCTCCTCCACGATTCTTTGGCTCCAAGCAGAATTGGTTCCCTGATATCCTTACGCTGCCCCCCACAGTTGCTTTCAGTCTAACTGGAGATGGGGATAAGGAATAGGAAATACTTGGGGGGGAAAAACACAAAGAAATTGGGAAAAATAGGTTAGACCCCAAAGCCTGCAGCCTGAGGGGCTGGGAGTGTGTGTGTGTGTGTGTGTGTGTGTGTGTGTGTGTGTGTGTGTGTTGGGCGAGGGAACAGCAGGGTCCGGATCAGATCCCACCCTGAATGGAGGAATTCTGGTCATTGATTTTGAGCTGGAGAAGCCTTAGAGATCGTCTAGATTGAAGCCCCTTCATTTTTGCAAATGAGGAAACTGAGGCCCAGAGAGGGGCAAAGACTTGCCCAAGGTCACACAGGAAGCCCGCCTCGGTGGAGCAGGATTCAAAGAGTGCGCTCTCTGCTGCCCAGGAGAGCTCCAGGTCCCAAGGGCCGCCCGAACAGGTCCTAAGTCGAGGGAGTGGATGGGGGGCGGGGGTAGGGGGAGCGCCGTGCCCGGGTCAGAAGCAAGCCCGGGCCCCGTGCGGGCTTGCCCCCTCGTTTCCCCCTTTCAGGTGGGGCCCTGGAGTTCTTTATGTCCGCCGCAGGTGGGGACAGGAACAGCTAGGGGCAATCGAAGGCGCGGGCAGGAGAAGACAGCCAGATCTGAGCACAGACAGGCAGACGAACGGACGGACCGACAGACCCAGGGGTGGGGGTGGAGGCACAGTTAGCAGAGGAGGGTGGTGACCTGGGTTGGGGGAGGAGAGAGGGAGAGCAGAGGCCGGGCCAGGGGGAGGGGGAAGAGGAGGAGGAGGAGGAGGAGAGAGCCTCCGCCAGGAAGAGGAGAAAAGCTGCCTCCCTCCTTGCCTCCGACCGGCCGTCAGTCCCTCCGTCCGCCAGTCGGTCTGCCAGAGCAGAGCGGAGCGTGCTGCTCGCAGACTCTCATGAGCAGCCCGGGGGGCAGCCGTTTCCCTCTAGCCCGCCCGCCAGCTGCCCACCCCAGCCTTCCAAGATGATGAAGAGGCAGCTTAATCGGATGCGGCTGCAGCTGTCCCAGACCGGGGGCTCGGGGCGGTGAGCGCAGCCCTGGGCTGGCCTGGGTTGGGGGCGGTGGTGGGAGACGCGCGATGTGTGTGTGTGTGTGTGTGTGTGTGTGTGTGTGTGTGTGTGTGGTGTGTGTTGTGTGTGTGTGTGTGTGTGTGTGTGTGTGTGTAGGGGGGGTTGCTGAATTAGGGCTGAGAACTCCAGTACTGCAGTCCCAGCCAGCACCATCCCCAAACCTGAACCTCTTCCCTTTGCTTTCTCTTTCAACACCCCTCCCCAAAGGGCCTCCTGGGAAGGGAAGTCTCGTGAAGTGAGGCCTCAGACTCGGTGTAGCCCAGAGCCGCCCCTCCCCACTCCTTCCAACAGAAGAAGAGGTTTGGAGTCCTTAGCCCATCCCCCCAAGATGTTAGGGAAGGGGGTCTGGCTTGGTTGGGAAGAGGGGTAATCTCCACCCATGGAGGGAGGGGCCGTGATGGAGGGGACTAGGAACAGAGTGCCTTAACTAGGAGGCACCTTAGAATATAGGAGGTCAGAGTTAGGAGGGACCTTAGAACAGAGAATGTCAGAGCAGCGTGGGGCCTCACAACTGAGATTGTAAGAACTGGGAGGGCTCTTCGAAAAAGGAACTTCAGAGCTGGGAGCCCTAGAACCTGGAAAGTCAGAGTTGAGAGGACCCTTAGTAAAGAGATGCCAAAACTGGGAGGAATCTGAGCACCTGGAATGTCAGAACCGGGAGGTCCCTTAAAACCATGCGCTTTTAGAGCTTGAAGGGTCCTTAGAATAGAGGAAGTTGGTGTTTAGAGCTAAGAGTTTAGATCTTCTGGCTTAATCCCTCTCATTTACAGCTGAGGAAATTAGGAACTGTTCCCTGACCTCTCCTTCCCCTACCCCCTCCAGGTTTCTGTAGTTCAGAGGGTTTTTTTTTGGGGGGGGGCTAGTCCTGAGCTGATGGAGGGGAGGGTCAGGGACCACGATGGCTAGCTTCTCTCTCGGCCTGGGACCCTGGGGCTAGTTTCTTCCATCCGCCGGCCCCCACGCCCAGCCTCAATTATCCAGTCTGGACCTCATAAAGAATTAACATGTCAGGACCCTCCCTGGAGAGAAGGAAGGAGATTAGAGAACTCTGAGACTCCAGGGGGGCGGGGGCAGGGTGGGAAGAGGGTCTGGGCTGACCCTGTCTCCCTGGAGACAAGGACTCCTGGGGCACTTTTTAGAGGGGCAAAAAGCCTTCCATGAGCTGCTCTTCCCATAGGTCTTTGCTTTTCCTACCCCACCCCCCGCTCAGGATTTCAGTCCTCTGAATTCTGCTTTGCTTTTCCCAGGGTCAGGTAAAAATCCAGCCCCATTCCCAGGCCTAAGTTTCTAAACATCTGCTTTACAAAAACCAAAACCAGATGGCCTTGCCCTGACTCCCTTGCCATCTCCTCCCTGCCCCTCCTCCCCATCCCCTCATGGGACCTAGAGTTCTTTTTCTCATGTTGTAGGGGGGAAAAATAACAGACTGGACACCAGGATACCTGGGTTGTAATTGTGTTTCTGCTACTTACTACCTGTGAGACCTTGGACAAGTCACTTCTCTGGACCTCAGTTTCCTCATCCTTCAGATAAGGGGGTTGGACTCGGTGACCTCTGGAATTCTCTAATTGTGTGACTTCAATCTGTATTATAGGCTGTGTTGGAGAAGCTGGGGGTGTGGGGAGAAGTGAGGAGAAAAGAGGAAAGGAATCTGCATTTCAAGTTGAGAGGGACCCTAAGCTAAGCCCCTCTTTTTTTTTTTTTTACAGAGAAGGAGACTGAGGCTTAGAGGGCAAGTGATTTAGGATCATAGCTTTAGAGCTGGAAGACTCTCCAGAGGCCATCAGCCCAATCCACGAGTTTTCCAGAGGGGGACACTGAGGCCTAAAAAGAGAAGTGCTTTAACATTATAAGAACATAGATGTACCCTTCGAGGCCATTTTCCAGATGAGGGCAGGTTGGCCAAGAGCACAGAGACAACATCCAAGCCAAGCTTCTTTTCACTGTTTTTTCTGTCTCCAAACTGAAGCCACATGGATCTGTCTCTCTCTCCCTCCCATCCCCCCCTCACTCTATCCCCTCCCCCCACCCCCTAGCTCTAACACCTCCCTCGAGCTCGGCACTTTACTCCAGCTGCTTTCTATCATGGCCCTCCCAGGTTTGGTGTGGGGGCCCCTGAGAAGCTCTTCCTGCTGCCCTGCCCCACTTTCCCAGGTGCAGCTCTGGGTGGAGAAGGAAGCAGCCTGACTTTGAATTCCCAGCTGCTTTGGAATGTGCTCTGGCTGGAGGGGTGTGGGGAAGAGTGAGAGACAAGAACCAGGAGCTGAGTGTGGACAGTCAGGGATCCTTCCTGAAAGGACACATCAGCTAAGGCTTCTGTCCTCTCCACCCTCTGCTCCTTCAGCTCCTAGTTGGTCACCCTGAAGGGCCCCCCAGTCCAGACTGGGTACTGGTCATAGGATCACAGATTTAGAACTCCGAAGGGCCTCAGAGGACTAGTTTGCCTGCTCATTTATAGGAGACTGAGGCACAGAGACAGCCAGTGGCTTGCCTTGGGTTGCACAGCTACTGTGAGCCAAGACTTCAATCTAGATCTGCCAACTCCCCTATATCATGATATCTGTCAGGGAGTTCTGTGGAAGCAGGAAAGTAGGTTGAGTAGAGGTCTCCAACTTCCCTCCTCACGCAGTCTCTGTCCCCCACAGTGCCCAAGAAACTGCTGAATTTCTGAGCGAGGACCTGCTTCAGGTATGGATGTGGGCAAAATGACGAGAGGCAGGCCTGTACAGGAGCTGGGAAGGTGGAGGGAGAAATAAAGGAGGGAGGTAGCCAAGTGCGTGCTATGAGTCACCAGAACCTCCTGGACTGGATTTCTCTTCGAAGGAAGATGTCACCCTGGGGAAAATAGGGTGCCTGGAGTAGATCGAAGGGGAGGAGAAAAGAGGCAGTGTCCCTAAAGGAGGAGCTCAGATGTGGCCAAGTATTGGGTATGTGGCAAGAGACTACCTGGCAGTGAGGAGAGAGGAAACCAGTCAATGGATAAACATTTATTAAACATCTCCTGTGTACTTATGTTAACTTAGGTTAAATGTTGGATACATAGAAAGAGACAAAGACAGTCTCTACCCTCAAGAAGCCTACAGTCTAATGGAAACTGTGAGCAGCACACCGTGCATCCCGTGTGCACTTCTCCCTCTCAGCCTCTTTCTTCCATCCTCAGGTAGAACAGAGGCTAGAGCCAGCCAAGCGGGCTGCTCACAATGTCCATAAGAGGCTGCAGGCCTGCTTACAGGGCCAGAGCGGGGCAGACATGGAGAAGCGTGTCGTGAGTATGCACAGGACCCGTTGGTGGGGGGAGGATGTGGGAGAGAGATGGCTTCAGAGCTGAAGGTTGGTGGTAACCAAGATTAGGGGAGGTCAGAGGATGCTAGAGCCCGAGCTACAAGACAGTTTGGAGTACAACCTCTTCATTTTACAGATGAGGAAACTGAGGCCCAAGGAATTGGTGACTTGCCCAAAGTCAGGCAGGAAGTATCAGACAGAATTTGAACTCAGTTCCTCAGACTTCAGATTCCATGATCTTTCCTTGGGACCCTTCCCCCTACCCTTTGGTTCCAGCAAAAGAACTCTGGGTCCCCTCTCTTCCCCTGCTCCATCACATTGCACATAACCCAAACTGGGTTTGTTCCATAATATTTACCAAACATCTATTAAGTGCCAGGCACCATACAGGGTATTGGGGTTACAAAGACAGAATAAACCAGCCCCTGCCCCAAGGGGCTTCTAGTCCCTGGGGCTTCAGATTCCTCATCTGGAAAATGAGGCGGTTGGACTCCCGGGTCCTTTTCAGCTCCAGCTGTGTGATCCTGAGACCCCTCCCATTATATTGGGCTGGGAGGCAAGGACACCTTGGGTCCAAAGCTGATGTTCTGTTGTAGGATGAAAAGTCGATACAAAGTATGCCCAGAGTAGATATAAGGTAACTTGTGAGGATGGAAAAGGCTTGCTTTGGGGAATTCTTAGAGGTTGAGGTAAGAAGAGAGGGCACTTCAGGTGTCTGGACCAGCCTGTGCATAAGTATAGTGGGGAGAGACTGGAATCTGACGGTCAGCAAGAAAGCCAGTCTGGCTGGAAAGTAGAGTGTGTAAGGGTGAGTAGTTAAGTGTTCGGTCTGAAAGGTGGACCAGAGACAGACTGTGGAGGGCTTGAAATGCCAAATGAAGGAGTCTGTGTTTAAGGCAAGAGGGAGTTGCTGCAGGCTTTCTCTTGAGCAGGAGAGTAACATGGTCAGACCTGGGTTTTAGGAATATCCATTTGGCAGCTGTGTGGACAGTGGATTGGAGAAGGGAGAAACTGGTCAAGTCATGTTAATAAGCATTTATAAGCATCTACCAGGCACTGTGTGTGCGAAGTGGTAGAGAGTCAAAGAAACTCCAAAAAAAAAAACCCACCAAAAAAACCCCCCCTAACCCCAAAATGTTTACAAGATGTTACAACATGTTTTGGATGTCATTACTGCTCTTGGTTAGACTAAATAAAATGGCAGCAGCTAGGTGGCACAGTGAATAGAGCACTGGCCCTGGAGTCAGGAGGGCCTGAGTTCAAATCTGGCCTCTGACACTTACGAGCTATGTGACCCTGGGCAAGTCACTTCACCCTGATTGCCTCAAAAACAAACCAAAAAAATGGCTGATGATTCCCTGTCTAACCTTGCCCAGATCCCACCATCCCAGCATGCCCCTTTGCCACCTTCCCTCCACGTTTCCATGTGCTAGCCTGATAGAAAAAGCCTTGAGTGGGAAGTCAGGAGACCTGGGTATCACTCCCAGCTCTACCACTGGGTCACTGTATACTCTCAGACAAACTACTTGGCCTCTCCGATCCTCAGTTTCTTCATCTGCAAAATGGGGGTTATGATAATGGAATCACACAGCTGGGAGGGATGTCAGGGGTCATCTAGTCCAAGATCCCCAACCTTCAAGGATGGAGAACTAAGTCACCCCCCTATCCCCACCCCACCCCAAGGCAGCCAACTGTACTTTGGTCAGCTTTAATTACTTGGAATTTTTGTCCTTATATGGAGCCCAGATCTGACTCTCTCAGCAGCTGTCCCCCCTGGCCTGCCCCCTTGCTCCTGGTTCTGCCTTCTGGGGCCAAGGAGGACAAGGCTAAGCCCTCTTCCCCATGACAATCCTCAGCTACATGAAAACTGCTATTCCATCTTGCCCTTCCCCCACCCAGAGTCTTCTCTGGCTGTAGGTTCTCCTCACATACTGACCTTTACCCTTCAGTCCCCTTCCTCCTCCCTCAGAGGGTATTGTAAGGATCGAAGGATGCAGGCTTGCTCTGGAAAGTAAGAAGCACTGGAAAAATACAAGTGCATTATTCGGTGCTGAGAAGATGCATTTCTAGTGTGTGTGTTTCTGGGTCTTTTTCGTGTAGAGCCCATTCTCTACTTAAGAGTGAGACTTTTAGGGGCAGGGGGAGACAAGCATTATTCCGTCCCACTTCAGGAGGCAGGTACAGTGGAAAGAGTACTGTCTCGAGAGAACTTCTGATTCTTCCTCTTACATTTAACATCTGTGTGATCTTGGCCAAGTCAGGCCACTTCCCTGGGCCTCAGTTTCCTCACCTGTAAAATGAGGGGAGTTGGACTAGTTGACCTTGTGGATCACTAGGTCTGTGAAGTCACTGTGGAGTGCCTTGGCTAGTTCTCGACTAGTTCAGTCTCCAGTGGAAGGGAGCAGATCTCACTTTCTTACCTCAACCTTTTGTCTTTGCAGAAGAAACTGCCACTCATGGCTCTGTCCCACACAATGGCCGAGAGCATCAAAGAGTTGGATCCAGATTCTAGTATGGGGTGAGTGAACTGGGGAGGGAATTAGCTCGTGGAGTCCCAGGGTCTGGAGGAGCAGAGGATGGGCCAGAGTTGGGAGGGTCCTCTTTCCCTAGTGGAGAGGGGGACAAGGGCTGGAGTTTACTTGTTTCCCACCCCACCCCCCACGGGGCAGAGGACTAGAGGTGGGCGGGGGGAAGGAGTCTCAGTCTGACTGTGGTCACTTGGTCCCCACAGGAAGGCTTTAGAGATTAGCTGTTCCATCCAGAGTCAGCTAGCTCGGGTCTTGGCAGAGTTTGAGATGGCCCTGGAGAGAGATGTCCTACAGCCCCTCAACAGGCTGAGTGAGGTAATCAGTCATCTTAACGGCCCACAAAATGTTGTCAATTTTATGAAAGGTTTTACGTGCATTATGGTGATAAGACCCACCCAAGTTACCCTCCCACGTCTCATGGTAGCCTAGAAATGACTCCAGCTCTCAAAGGCTCTGCTGGCAGAGTACAACTCTGACCTAGGTCTTACCAAGCTGGAAAGGCTTTCAGAAGGGACCAGGCTGTCCTCTGAGGACCTGCCTCCCTAGGGTTCTAGCCTCCAGGTGATGAATTGTTTGCTAAGTACAAGCCTGAATTAATAATAACTATTATAATAATTGTCACTTATCTTAGTACTTCCAAATTTTATTGATATCTTTTGTTTTTTTCATCACATACATTTCCCACTATATCTCTTCTCTATCCTAGAGAGCCAACCTCAGCAAATCACTTCATTTTTCTGGGCCTCAGTTTCCTCATTTGTAAAATGAAAGGGTTGGATGTGATAACTTCTGAAGTCCTTCCAGCTCTAAATTTCCAGCTCTAAATATAGGAGGAGCTAGGTAACAAAGAAAAAAAAGGGGGGGGATCAATTTCAGCAAAAACTAACCAACATTATCAAATAAGTGCAACATTATATATAGTGTTCCACACCTGTCGTCCCCCACCTCTGCAAAGAAGGGAAGAAAGTACATTCTCCTATCTCTTCTTTGGGCTCACACTTGGTCATATACCTTGAAAGCTTTTGGTTTCAATTGTTTCATTGTTCTTTCCATTTATGTTGTTATAATCATTTCTTATATTGTTTTCCTGGTTCTGATTACTGCTTTCTATATCAGTTCATGTAAATCTTCCCATGCCTCTCTGCATTCATCATATTTCATCCTTTCTTATGGCGCAGTAATATTCTGTTACATTTCTATACAATGATGGAATTCTACATTGTATCTACTTCTTTGCTACTACAGAAAGTTCTGCCATATTTTGATATGTGTGGGGCTGTTTTGTGGTCTTTTTTTAACCTCCTCATGGTATGTAACTAAATGTAATCTCTGGGTCAGAGTAACATGTTAGTTACTTTATATAATTCTAAATGGTTTTCCAGGATGGTTGAACTAATTCACCATTCTACCAACAATTCATTAATCTGCCAATTTTTCCACAACATTTCCAACATTGACTATTCCCATCTCTTGATCTTTAGCCATTTGTTGGTTGTAAGGGGAAACCTCAGAGTTGTTTTTTATTTGCATTTTCCTATTATTAGCTCTATGTGGTTAATAGTTTATGAGGCTTCTTTTGATAAATATTTGTCCATATGCCTTGACTACTTATCCAATGGAGAATGGTTCATGGTCTCACATATTTCTGTTAACTCACTGTATATATCTTCACTATGCAAGGATTTTTCTGCCCAGTTTTTTTTCTCTTATCCTGCTTGTATTAATTTTGCATCACCTTTATTTTTGAATATCTCTCCTCCTTCCCTACCCATGAGCCATTGCTTGTAACAAAAAATAAAAAAGAAAGGAAAATGAGCAGTTTAGGGACAGTTAGGTGGCACAGTGGATACAGCTCTGGCCTTGGAGTCAGGAGGACCTGAGTTCAAATTTGGCCTCAGACACATAACAGTTACTAGCTGTGTGACCCTGGGCAAGTCACTTAACCCTGACTGCCTCACTAAAAAGCAAAAAACAAATTTTTTTTAGAAAAAAGCAATTTAGCAAAACCAACAAGAACAATAAATAAGTCTGTGTGTGCACTTAACCTTATTAAAAGTACCTCCCCCAAATCACACCATTATATAGATGTGAAAAAAGCTTTTGACAAAGTTCAATACTAATTTATGCTTCAAAAAAAAAACCCTACAGGTATAGAAGGGAATTTTTTTTTTGGCAAGGTAATGGGGTGAAGTAACCTGCCCAAGGTCACACAGATAGTGTCAAGTGTCTGAGACCAGATTTGAACTCAGGTCTTCTGAATTCGGGGCTGGTACTCTATGCACTGCACCATCTAGCTGCCCCTAGAAGGGAAACTTTTAATATGATTAAAAGTAGATCTCTAAAACCAAAAGTTTGCCTTATGGATAATGGGAAAACACTAGAAGCTTTGCCAATAACTGCAAGCATAAAGCAAGTATGCCCTCTTTCCCTACTTCCTCCCCACTCTCTACTGAAGGATGACTAAATAAACTGTGGCACTTGATTATAATGAAATGTGGCCATGCCCTAAGAATTGATGGGCATGAAGAATGCAGAAAAGCCTGGTTTATATGAACTGACACAGAATGAATACACAGACCCGTGGAAACACTATATGCAATGACCAAAATGGTGTAAAAGGAAAAGGGGCCCAAACTGAACACTGTGCAATCAGAGTGATCCAGCTTGGGCCCAAAGAAGATGTGAGGCAGAGCATTCCCTTCCTTTCTTTTCAGGGACAGAAACTGTGGGCCTGGGGTGTTCATATACCGTCTTAGTTGACATGTTAGTTGGTTTTGTTCAATTATTTTTCTCTCTGTCTTTTTTACTTTTTTTACTCTTTGTTACAAAGGATGGCTCTATGGGTAAGGGAAGGACGAGATAGTTTCATATCTCCTATATTCAGAAGTCAAAGTGATTTAAAAACAAGAGAAATTAATACGTTTTAATTAAGCTTTTTTTTCCCTGGAGGCAATTGGCATTAAGTGACCTGCTAGTGACACAGCTAGTTAAGTGTCTGAGGCCAGATTTGAACGCGGGTCCTCCAAGGCTGGTGCTCCACCTAGCACCACACCACCTAGCTGCCCCAATAATTTTTTTTCCTAAGAAAGAAATCAAAGGCATAAACATTGGCAAAGGAGAGCCAGTTATTTGTTTGCTGATAACTTGATGGTTTACTTAGCCCCAAAGAATCAGCAAACAAACAAATTGAGATAGAAACAATTTTAGTAAAGTTGGCCTTGCCTAAGTATCCATCTTGGAGGCAGGGAATCAGAGAGCCTATGCTCAAATTCTGGCACCATCACTTCTTGCTGTGTTCCCTTGGGAAAATCACCTAACTTCTCTGGTCTTCAGTTTCCTTTTTTGTGAAAAACAACTGAAAGGTTGGCCCAAGAGCTATTAAAGGCTCCTGACAGGCTGTGCCTTTTGTCTGATCCACCAGGAGGAGCTTCCATCCATTCTCAAGCATAAAAAAAACCTCCAGAAATTGGTGTTAGACTGGAATGCCCTGAAGAGCAGGTGAGTGGGTGGTACTGACCTGGGGTTTGGACCCACACAAACTAGGTGACCCATGCCAGGCTGGGTGTCTGGTGGGCTCTGGGATCAGGCAGGGGCCCCTCTCCTAGCTCACTTTGCTCTGTTTCCCAGCCACAGGCCACACCCTTGATACCACCCTGGTCATCTCAGCACCCCCCCCACTGGAGGGGAGCTAGGGGAGCCCACCCATCCAACACCAAGGGTCCCTTCTGCTGATGACAGTAGGGCCGCCTTCCCAGACAAAGGGCAAGGCATTTTTAAAGTGTGCGTGCATCCTTCCATGCACATGTGTGCTCGTGTACATAGTATGTGAATGCAGGTGTAGCCATGTGCACACGTATATATAAGCATGCTCTTTTGTGCTCATGAGTGTGTTTGTGTGTTGTGTGATGTTTTGTGCAAATGTACATACATGAGTATATCATGCATGTGTTGAGTACACATGCATCTACATGGGTACTGTGCAGAAGTAAGAGCGTGCACAACAGCTGTGTGGACCTGCACGTGCATGGGCATGCTCACAACACATGCACACACCTGTGTAAGCACATGCACACCATGACACGAACATGAATAGTCACACATAGTGCCGTCATGACAAAGGGTCTGGACTTGGAGCCAGAAGAACCCAGGTGAAATTCTGGGCCCTATAGCTTCCTAGCTGTGTGACCTGGAGCAAACCACTCCCTGTCTCTGACAAACAATGACAATTATAATGAAAGTCATGACAGCCCCTGTCTCTGTGGCCTTTGGAGGCTGACCCAGCACTTTGGGGATCCTTCACAATACTCCTGGGAGGTGGATGTAACCCACTGAGGCTCATTCCACAGTCTTGAGGGGTCAGAACGTTGCTTTGTAAGCTCCCAAATACCCATCTTAGCAGCCAACATTTGCGTAGCCTTGCAGGTCTGGCAGCTGCCTTGGGTAGGCATGGGGGTGGGGGGAATAATGTGCCTTTTTTTTTTTGGTTAGGCAATGGGGTTAAGTGACTTGCTCACAGTCACACAGCTAGTAAGTGTCAAGTGTCTGAGGCCACATCTGAACTCAGGTCCTCCTGACTCCAAGGCCAGAGCTCTATCCACTGTGCCACCTTGCTGCCCCTGTAATGTGCCTTTTTATCACATTTGCAGATAAAGAGGCTCAGAGAGGTTAATTGATGGCTCAGGGTCACACAGTGCCTGAAATACAGGTGTTTGAGAGGATGCTGTCATCAGTGTGTGTGTGTGTGTGTGTGATGGTGAACACATATATTCTCGTGCCTGGGTCTTGTACTCCTGATGAGGCATCTCTTCTGGCATGGTTTGTTTGTGGGTGCCTTGGACGAGCTGGTGAGCCAGCCAGCCGAGACCCTCTGGGTTCCCTATTGGAGGGCTCTAACCAGGCTGTGCTTCCCAGAGGCCACAAGGGGGCGCCTGGCCCTATGTGTCCCCTGAGGGGAAGACTCTAACCAGGCTGGGCTTGGCACAGAGCACAAGGAGGCACCCATGCGCACATCCCCTTCCTGACTAACGGAATACTCAGGTGAGCTCATTTGTATTAAAACCCCAGCATTCATGGTGAGCTGCCAGGAACCTGGATGACTTGGGGGGGGAGGTGATTGGTCATTATATCTTTTTCCTCCTGACCTTCTCCAGGCTCAGTCAGATGGCCAAAAATTCAAGCCTCGGACCTGGTGTGGGGGGCCCTGGGGGTCACAACACCACAACCAATAAGCTGGAGACCCTGAAGGAAGAGGAAGAAGAACTGAAGAGGAAGGTGGAGCAATCCAAGGTGAGGACCTGGAAGGTGCCATGGCTCTTCGCAGGGGGATCTTACTGCAAGTCAAGTCACTGCCCATCTCTGGGTCTGTTTCCTCCTGTGTAAAATAGAGATGACTTTTTTTTTTGCACTCACTAGAAGCCGACTGAAACATAAAATAAAATACCTAGGAATACATAGGGAACTAGTTATATTGAGATACAGTTATAAAAATATTTTAAAAAGCTAAAATAAGTTCATAGCCTCAGGATAAGAACTGTTTGATCTACAGCTAAAAAGAACTTCAGAAGTCTAATCTAATCCAACCTTCCCATTTTACCAATGGGGAAACTGAGGCCCAAGAAGTGAAGTGGTTTGTGCATGGTCACATGGGTAGTAAGTGACAGAGGCAGGATTTGAACCCAGATCCTCTGTCTCTAAATCCTAACTCCTTTCTACCGTGTGCCACCACCTCCAGGTATTCTGCCTCCAGAACAGTCTTTCTTATCACTAAACCTAACTGATATTTATATTGTGCATTAAGGTTTGCAAAGTTCTTTCTATCCATTATCTCCTCTGATCCTCACAACAACTCTGGGAAGGGAGATGCTATTCTTGTCCCCATTTTACAGAGGAGGAAACTGAGGCCCAGAGAGGTTGTGACCCTTAGTCAATAAACAGCTATTAAGGGCCAGACACCATGCTAAGCACTGGTGATACAAAGAAAGGCAAAAGACAGTGCAGTGCTTCATCTACCAGGCCTTAGTGCCTCTCCAAGTAACCCCACTGACAAAATGATACATATTTCAACTCATTTCAAACATTCATTAAGCTTGTGTGTTATTATACGCAAGAATTGTGCCAGGCACTGGAGATGAAGAATGGAGGTGAAGTGAGCTGTCCGAAGTTGAATGGCAAGGAAGTGATGGCCCTGGGAGTTCAGTTCAACTCAACCCCCATTTGCTTAGTGCCTATTGTATGCCAGGTCTTGTACTAGGTGCTGAGAATAGAAAAATCATTACAAAGTAGTCACTGTCTGAAAAATGGTTATATTCTGCTGGGGGGGGGGGTGTCATCATGGGCTACCATCCTGCCTCCCACTCCAGGGGCAGGCCCACCATGATGGCCTTGAGGGCTAGGGAGGAAGAGAGGGACTGACCTCAGAGCTGGTTGGAATTTTCCTGTGTCTCTCCTAGGATGAGTATCTGTCAGATCTGTACCACTTTGCTACGAAGGAAGACAGCTATGCAAACTACTTCATCAGTGTAAGAGCTTCCAGGAATCCTACCCCCCCCATCCCTTCCCCAGGCAATGTTGCCAGGATGGTGTGGAGAGCTCTGGAGAGTGGGGAAAGGCTGCTGCTTCCCGGCAGAGGAGCCCAGGGGAAAGGAAGATATAGAGGGTACCCAGGCCTCCCCAATCTGAGGAGGAAGGAGAGTCTACAAAGTTTCCCACCTCCCCACCAGGGGTCAGTGACCCTCTTTCTGTACTGTCAGAGGCGTCCTCCCAGGGTGGGATTGGGGAAGGTGGGAGAGGAGCTCTGATAGGGGAATCCCAACTTCTTGGCCCCCAAGACTCACCTTATGGCCCTCGCCTCGAGGCCCTCACCCTGACCCTTATCTTACACAGCTTCTGGAGCTGCAGGCTAGTTACCACCGCAAATCCTTGAGCTCACTGGACACAGCCCTGGCTGAGCTGAAGGAGACCCACGGCCACACAGGTATTGGTGGTAGAGCAGACAGCCTCCTCCTTTCCCTGCCCCTTCCCATATCCAATGCATCCATGGTTAATGGGGAGCTCAGGACTCTGACCTCTTCCCCTTAAGGCCTATGTGACCTCAGCCAAGTCACTTTCCATCCTTATCCTCAGTTTCCTCACAGCACAGTAGAACAGGCAATGGCACAGGAGACCCACGGGCTAGCTTCAAATGCTGCTTCTCGAGAGCCTTTATAACAAAGAATAAAACAGGCAGGGAAGAGAAGTTGAGTAAAATTAACAGAATGAAGAAGCCAAGTTTGACAGTAGATGAGGTATGAAAAACCATCATAACACCTGCTCCAACTAGCTCATAGAAGGTGCGCTGCTCCAGGGCAGGGACCGGGTGCCTTTTGTCACCCGGCAAGGTGTGTGGCACAGAATAGGCCCTTAATAAATTCTCAATGGATGGAATCAGAACTCTTGAATGGAGCGACCACGAGCATACCATGTACCCGGCTCTGTCCAAGGTGCTGGAGAGACAGGGACAAAAATGAGCAATTCTACCCTCAAGTGGCTGATATTTACTGGATAAATTAAAGGCAACACAGAACATATATGTAGTAAATGTTAAAGAAAATGACACAGGCATTGGAGGAGGAATTATATGATACATTTTGTTTCTGAATGAACAAAGTGACTTCAGGACTACAATAGATGCTTTAAAAAAAAGAAAAAGGAAAAAAACCCAAATGGGTGTTCCAAAAATATACCAAAACTTGAAATTATTGGGACACTTGTCTTTTCCTGAATTTGCCATCCATCCTCCATGCCTCTACTCCCTACCAACTGGTTCCAAATTGCCAGCAATTTACATGGGTCCCTGAATGAGGGGAGGAAAGGGCCAGACTCCCTGATGGGTTGGGAGGGAGGGAGGGGAGGGATGTCTTTGATTTGGGTCACCAGGCCTCCTTTGGGGATGCTCTGGGGGCTCAGAGAAAACTTTCTAAAAGCAGCGGGTATTGGGGAGGAGAGATTTAAAGGGAGTAGGGGTGGGGATGGTTGAAGTAGAGGATGAGTGAGGAGAAACCTCCCCCCTCCCCCTGCTTCCTCCAGACTTCTGATGATTTTACCTCTGTCCTATCTAGTGGAAGGAGTAATCCTAAGGAATTAGAGAGAAAAGATAATTTAGAAACCATTTAGTCCACCCCCTCCAACCCAGTCCAATCCAATAAACTTTTGTGAAGTGTCTAGGATTCCTTACCAGTCATTGGGTGCTTGGGAAAACAGAGGCAACACCTCCCTCTCCCATAATTGACAGATATGGAAACTGAGGTTCAGAAGGGCGAGTGACTTGCCCAGGGTCACACAGCCAAGCTAAGATTCAAACTTATATATTGATTGAATTGTGTGTATGTTTAATGAGATTTTTTTTTCAATCTACAAGCCTTTGTTTTCACTCATTCCTGCTTCTCTCCCACTGGAAAAAAAAATGCCTCGTGCTGTGAGGGGGAATGGCGGCAAGGACAGCATTTTTTCTCCTATGCCCTGAAAGGGTCATGGATTTTCACAGGAAAGGGACTTCTGAGGTCTCTTATTTTACAGAGGAGAAAACTGAGGCCCAGAGAGGTATCCAAAGTGGCACAATAGCAGAGCTAGGATTTGAATCCAGGCCCTCTGGCTCCGAATTCAGCATGCTTCTCATGGTGTGGAGCTCCTGAGCTGAGCCAGAGGAAGAGTAGATTGGGAGGTTAGTTTGAGGGCACAGGAGTGACAAAAGGGAGAGTAAGGTAACCTTTTCAGTCTCATGTCTTGCCCCCAAGGCTGTTCTTTCAGAGGAGGGAAAGGTGAGGCACTCCTTTCTTCACCCTGTCCCATCTCATCTTCCCCCCCACAGACAGCGGCACCCGAGTGTCAGATGTCCCCTCCACCAAAGTGTACGGGGTGGCCTTAAGGACGCATCTGCAGGAGACAGGCCGGGACGTTGCTTTGCCGCTGGAGGCCTGTGTGTTGATGCTTCTGTCTGAAGGCATGAAGGAAGAGGTAGAAGGGAGGAGGGCACCTGTAGGGCCCAACTCACACCTGGGAGGGGCTGGGGAAAAAAAGTCCTAGGTGGCCAGTAAGGATACTTATCCTATGTGGCTATGGAGAATAATAAGAGCGCTGGATTAGTTCTTAGAGACTGGCCCATCCAGCCCTGCCATTTTACACATGGGGAAACTGAGGCCCAGAGAAGGGAAGGGGCTTGCCCAAAGCTGCAGGTAGTGAGTGAGCAGCAGAGCTGAGATTCAAACACAGCTGACATGTTTACAAAGGGCTTTTATGTATATCTCTCAACTGCTCTATGAGAAAGTGGGGTGGGGCTTATTCTTGCCCCGAGAGGTCAGATGATTTGGCCAAGGTCACACAGTGGATTAATAACAGAGCTGGCTCTCCTGATACTCTTCTGCTACTGAAATGAGCCACTTCTGCCACCTTCTGGCTCATCTCTGTTGTTGGGAATTGTATCGTACAGGTCTTCAGGTTAACAACATGGTTCCCTAGTAATATAAATGCTCCTAGGAGAGCTGAGCCATTATCAGTCATTTCTACCTTAGTGTGAGCAAGTGTCAGATCTTTTCCTAAGTGCATAGTGTTATTATATAAGGAGGCCAGAAGGATGTTCCAACCTTAGAGCCTTGAGGGTGGAGGGAGAAGCTTAATTCCATGGAGGGTTGGGGATGGGATGTCCAAGGCTGGCGTTGTTTCTTCTCTCTCCATCCCCCATGGCAGGTCGACACACCCAAGCCCTTTCCATCATCCATCCATTTCCTTCTTCCTCTGGCCTCCTTGGGATTCTATCTTCCCCTTGGCCTCTCTGCCTCAATAGGCAGCCCTCCACAACAAAGACTTTCCATTTCCCTAGGGTCTCTTCCGCCTGGCAGCTGGGGCCTCTGTGCTCAAGAGGCTGAAGCAGACTATGACCCTCGATCCCAGCAGCCTGGAGGAATTCTGCTCCGACCCTCATGCTGTTGCTGGTACCAGAGCTTCTTTCTTTCTTTTTTTCCTTTTTCTTTCTTTCCATGCTTTCTTCCTTTTTTCCTTTCTTTTTTCTTTCTTACCATCCTTTCCTTCTTTCTTCTTTTTCTTCTCCTTTTCCCCATCTTCCTCTTTCCTTTTTCTATCCCTTTTTCTGTCTTTCCTTTCTATACTTCTTTCTTCCTTTCTTTTTTCCTCCTTCTCTCCCTTTTGCTTTCCTTTTTTCTATCCTTCTCTTCCTTCCTTCCATTATTCTTTCTCCTTCCTTTCTTCATCCCTCCTTCCTTTTTTTCTTTTTACCTTTCTGTTGGCCTCTTTAGCTTTTACATCACTTTCATTTTCCAGACTGTTCTTCCCCCTCCCCCACCCTGTGGACCATCCCTTATTACAAAAAAGAAAAAAAAGGCAGAGTGGGGGGAGGAAGTTAGAGGTTAGCAAAACTACCCAGCAAACAAGCAAGCCCAACAGGATGTGTATGCCACATCTGGGGCATCCCTTCAGCAGAGGAAAGACAAAGTCGAGGTAATCTGGACACTGATTTCAGTTCTCTGGCCTAATTCCACCACTCGTGTTTCATTGCTTTGGATGGAGCACTCCCCTGTTGGCATGCCAGTGGGAGGCTGCTGGGGAGCAGGTTTGATGGGGGCAGGCCCTGGGGATTCTGGGCATAGGGATGACACTGGCTCCCTCCCCTCATCTCCTCCTCTTTTCAGGGGCCCTCAAGTCCTACCTCCGGGAGCTTCCTGAACCCCTCATGACATCTGAGCTCTATGAGGACTGGTTGACAGCTGCCAAGTGAGTGTTGACAGAAAGCCAGTCGAGGCAGAGTGGGTGAGGAGGGCCCCATGGGGGAGCAGCACAACACTGGACTTATGTTCAGAAAGATCTGAGTTCTACTCTCACCCCAGACCCTTCCCAGCTGAGTGGGAGGGGGGGATTAGGCTCAATGGTCTGAGGGCAGGCCATTCTAGTTCCAAATCTATAATTGTTTGTTGCTTTTTTTTCTTTTTAGGCGATTGGGGTTAAGTGACTTGCCCAAGGTCACACAGCTAGTAAGGGTCAAGTGTCTGGTCTGAGGCCGGATCTGAACTCAGGTCCTCCTGACTTCAGGGCCAGTGCTCTATCCGCTGCGCCCCCTAGCTGCCCCCTCCAAATCTATGTTTGAATGAGAAAGTCCAAGGCCTTCCTTTCACAGCAGCTTGTCCCCACTCCAAATCCCACTGCCTTTTCTCATTTGTGTTCCTGTTTTCCCTGTCCCCAGTCTGAAGGAACCAGTGGCCCGGCTGGAGGGCCTCCAAGAAGTATGTGGGAAGCTGCCCCAGGAAAATCTCTGCAACCTGAGGTGGGCCCCACAATGCAGTCAGGTGACTGGGCTGAGGGGAGGGTTTGCTGGGGGCAGGCGGGGAACAGGGCTGGGGAAGCCCCTTTAAATTGGGAAGGAGCCGGGAGGGGGAGTGGCCCCACTCTTGCTTCCTTCCCTCACCTCTCCTCTCCCCGCCAGGTACTTGATCAAGTTCCTAGCCAGGCTGGCCAAGGAGCAGGAGGTGAACAAGATGACCCCAAGCAACATCGCCATCGTCCTAGGGCCAAACCTGCTATGGCCGCCCACGAGGGATGGGTAGGAGCAAGAACGTGGGAACCTTAGACCCAGAAGGGAGCACCTGACCAGGGAAGGACCTTAGCAGAGAACACTGGGATGTAGAATGTGGGATGTGGAGCTGGGAGGGCCCTCGGAACAGGGAATGTCAGGGCTGGGAGGGGCTTCAGAACAGGGAATGTCTGGGCTAGAAGATCCTTTAGAACAGGGAATGTCAGGGCTGGGAGGGGCCTCGGAACAGGGAATGTCAGGGCTGGGAGGGGCTTCAGAACAGGGAATGTCAGGACTGGGAGGTCCTTTAGAACAGGGAATGTCGGGGCTGGGAGGGGCCTCGGAACAGGGAATGTCAGGGCTGGGAGGGGCTTCAGAACAGGGAATGTCAGGACTGGGAGGTCCTTTAGAACAGGGAATGTCGGGGCTAGAAGATCCTTTAGAACAGGGAATGTCAGGGCTGGGAGGGGCCTTAGAACAGGGAATGTCAGGGCTGGGAGGGGCTTCAGAACAGGGAATGTCAGGACTGGGAGGTCCTTTAGAACAGGGAATGTCGGGGCTGGGAGGGCCTCGGAACAGGGAATGTCAGGGCTGGGAGGGGCTTCAGAACAGGGAATGTCAGGACTGGGAGGTCCTTTAGAACAGGGAATGTCGGGGCTAGAAGATCCTTTAGAACAGGGAATGTCAGGGCTGGGAGGTCCTTTAGAACAGGGAATGTCACAGTTGGGAGGAGCCTCGGAACAGGGAATGTCAGGGCTGGGAGGGGCTTCAGAACAGGGAATGTCGGGGCTAGAAGATCCTTTAGAACAGGGAATGTCAGGACTGGGAGGGGCCTCAGAACAGGGAATGTCAGGACTGGGAGGTCCTTTAGAACAGGGAATGTCGGGGCTAGAAGATCCTTTAGAACAGGGAATGTCAGGGCTGGGAGGTCCTTTAGAACAGGGAATGTCACAGTTGGGAGGGGCCTCGGAACAGGGAATGTCAGGGCTGGGAGGAGCCTCTGAACAGTGAATGGTTATTGAGCTTGGCAGGACCTGCTAGAATCTTTCTGAACTCAGAAACTCTTCCAGACCACGGAATGATATCAGAGGAGGAAAGGCATTAGTGGAGGCTAGAAGTAGAGATATTCTCTGATTAAAGGAATTCTGAAGTTCTACAAAATCCCTTCAGACAATGTGTGCTCAGGTGCTGTCCACACCCTGAGCCTTCCCTGGGGGGAGGACAGGTAGAGTTCACAGGTATTCTCTTTACTAGGAAATCCTAGACTAGGCACTGGGGCTGGGAACCTGGCCTAATGCTACCCTCCTCTCTGCTCCCCATCTCAGGGACCAGGCTCAGCTGGACACAGCCTCCGTATCTTCTATCCAGGTGGTGGGTGTGGTGGAGGCATTGATCCAGAATTCAGACACCCTCTTCCCAGGAGGTAAGGTCTTCTGTGTGAATGTGTCTGTGTATATCTGTGTATGTGCTGGTGTGTCTGCATGTGTTTGTGTAAATGTATATGTCTGTCCATGTGAGTATCTGTGTATGAGAGTATGTGTGCGTGTCGCCTTGGGAGAGTCAGGGGATCTAGGACTAACTAAGGTAGAAGCAGGGAGGGGTGGTGGCAAGGACCAGACCGTCAGCCCTTAAATGTCCCCATGTCCGGGGGGAGGACCTACTCCACTCCCCCTTTTGTTCCTACTGGATGTTCTGCCCCTTCCTCAGCCCTCCAAATGTGGAGCTTCCCCGGGCACAGTGGGAAGAGTCAGAAGAATCAGAAGATTACAGTGATCTGGCAGAAATTTGCTTTAGACAACAGCTTAAAACCCCAACCACAAAATCAGCTCAAACTAGAGCTTACTATTAAAAGTTGTAACATTTTCTAAAGTGACAGAACCAAGTCCTGTAAAAAGACACACCTAAGGAACGAATTTGTAATCAAAGAAGAGAGGGAAATGATCACAAAAGACAAAGTCGATCATTTCCGTTTCATGAAATTGGAAGGCTTTGGTACTAACAAAGTTGGGTAGCTGAGTTAAGCAGTAAGTTGAGAAGGAAAAAAGAAAATCTTTGCATCAAATATGTCTGAGGAGGGTCTGCTATCCAAATCTGTGGGTAATTAACAGAAATATTCAAGGCCTAAAGCCTTTCCCCAATCATAAGGAGTAAAAGGCAATGGACAGACAGTTCTCTAAAGAAAACTGAATAAATGAGTGAAGGAGGGAATGAATGAAGAACTATCTATTAAGCGCTCACTCTGGGCAAGGTTTTTGGAGACACAAACAGAAAAGAAAGCCCTTGTACTCAAGGAGTTGAGCACACATGGTGGTAAGGCCCGGAGTCTTAGGACGCAGCGGCCAGAGCAGATGGCAATAATCCATTTTCTTCAATGTCAATTCCATGAGCAAAACCAGATTGGTTTCTGATGGTGAATCATGGGACCTCAGCAAGGGAGGGGTGGGGAAAAGAGTCAGAAGACCTGGGTTTGTGTCTCTTCTCTGATACCATGTGTGTGACTGTTGGTAAGTCCCCACCTCTCTAAGCCACAACTTTTTCTTCCATAAAATGGGTGTAATGATACCCATACTGCCCACTTCACATGGTGGGGGTGGAGAGGCAAAAATCTTAATGTACTACAGAAATGTTCTGCTTTTCAATCAATCAAAAAAGCTACCCTGTGCCAGGCCCTGAGCTAGGTGCTGAGGATACACAGACAAAGGGAATGCTCCCTGTCCTCAGAGAGTTTCCATTCTAACCAATGCAGGCTCTTAGAAAAATTACCTCATTTTTGACTGCTGCCTTTTGGTTTTACGTCACATTTGTTTTTGATTCTAGCCCATCTCTACCACTCACTACCTGTATGACCTTGGGCAAGTCCCTTTCTGGGTCTCAGTTTCCTTATTTGCAAAATGAGGGGGCTGTACTTGATGGCCTGTGAGGCCACTTCCATCCCTAGACCTGTGACCCTCCCCTGCCCGGTGAGACATTCCTTGCAGTAAAGACTTAAAAAGAAGGAGGAAAACAGCAACTCGGCAAATTTCACCAAAATTCACTTGAAAGTTTAGGCAGTGTTCCCCACCCATGGTCCCACACCTTGTCGATGGAGGGAGAGAGGTGCTCAGAATGGAACAAAGGGTCCTCAAGGGCAGGAACTGGTCACTCTTCATCTTTGTATCTACCCCGCCCCCAGCAGTCCTTGGCATATGGCAGGCAGCTGCCCAGTCAGTGTTCGTTAGCTGAACGGAATTCAGTTCAATCGACTCTATCCCAGGAAAGCTTAGAATTTTCCCCCCTTCTTTTGCAGATATCGATTTCAGTGTCTCCGGCTTATTTGCTTCTCCCACTGTCCTGTATCAACCCCACTCCCAGGAAAAGTTTATTGATGGTCCCAAGTCAGAAGAATTCCCAGCCACCATCACACCCCCTCCAGTGGCTAAGGAAGGGTAAGAACATCTGGACATCAAAATGGCTTCAGGGCCCCCCTGGAGTGAGCCAGTTCAGGTCTTTGACAGGCTGGACAACTAGTATCTCTTCCAGTTCTGAGGATTCTTTCTGGGAAATGGAGGGAGGTAGGGAGAGGTGGCCTTGTGGGCTTCCCTTATGTTTTATAAGGTTAGAGATGCCCCCAAACATCTCCAGCCTCTCTCACTGGTGGTGGTGGTGGTGGTGGTAGTAGTAACAATAATAATTAATAATAGCTAGCATTTATATAGCTCCTACAATGTGCCAGGTACTAAGGGCTTTACAAATATCTCATTTAATCCTCAGGACATCCTTGGAAGGTAGGTGCTGTTATTATCCCCATTTTCCAGTTGAGGAAACAGACAGAGGTTAAATGACTTGCCCAAGGTCACACAGCTAGTTAAGTATCTGAAGCTGGATTTAAACTCAAGAGGTCTTCCTGACTCTGAGGCCAGCAATCTATATATTGTACCATATAAGCTGCCTCAGTGGTAGATAGCAGATGTTACACACCCATTATTCTGAATTGCTCTAGACCTGTTGGGAAATTTATATTACCAGTTAGTGGGACAACAGTTGAGATACGGCCGACCCTGGGGTCTAGGAGGTCACAGACCCTGACATAACTACAGAATCAGAGGATTTAGGGCTCGAAGGGACCCTAAAGACTGTTTAATTGAGCCTCCTCAATCCTCTACCCCAGTTCCACTTGGGAACCCTCTAGGTCGCATACTCCCTTCCTCTCCAACTTTAGGCCCCCAGGGTTTGAGGAACTGGGTAGGAATATCCAGGATATTATGTTCAGGCATAAGGGACTTGTTTTGACTTACTGATTCCAAGAAGAGTCTAGAATCCAGAGCTACTGAGATGTCCTGTCCCCCTGCCATGGGTAAGCTCTAGAATTCTAGAACCTTAGACTTGGAAAAAAAATATTATTGTGCCTCAGTTTCCTCATCTGTAAAATGAGAAGATTGGACTAGCTTCTCTGAGGTCCCTTCCAGTTTTATGTAATACTTTATAATCCTATGGTTTTTGATACCACTACCTCCTGTCTAGACTAGGAATCCTGGAAAGCATCTTCCTTATAGACATTTGAATACTTAGATTGGTGGGGAGCTCAGCACTGCCCATTCAGCTGTGATTATTATATTGCGCTGAACCTTGCCCACATTGACCTGTGAGTTCACCTACTTCCCTCTGACTGCCTCTATTCTACTCAGCCCAGGCAGACTTGCCAGCTTGGTTCTCAGTCCTCTGACTGATAGTTGGGGTGTGGTTACACAAATGATTACTAAGAGAGGCCTCGCCCTGAGAGTATGGAGACTCCTAGAAAAGTGCCGCGGGGCTCCCTCTCTCTAGCTAAGACCTGTGTTCCCATATTTCTCTTTGTCCCTCAGTAAGGAAGACTTGGAACCTCCACCAAGGCCCACCTCCCCAAAGATCAGCCGGAACCCCACAGAAGTGCCTGGACCAGCTGAGGAAACAGCCCGCAAGAGTGAGTCTCCCTATGGCCAAGCCCTCAGGGTGGCCTGCCATGGGAAGTAAGAGTCTCAGGGGCTGAGATCTTGTTCAGAGAAGGGGTTGGGACTGCTAAAGCCTAGTCTACATGGAGAGAGACAACATGAGCAGCATAAAATGAGAGGCAAGGAACCCCGAGAACGTTGGCATGGCTGGTCTGGGAGGGCCCATAGCACAGATGCTCCTTGGCAGCCAAAGATGGTTTCACTTCTGTGGCATTCAGTAGGTTCTTAATAAATGCTTCTTGATTCATCGGAATATAAAATGCCAGGGCTAGGAGGGCCTTAGAACAGAGAAGGTCAGGGCTTGCAGGGCCTTAGAACAGGGAAGGTCAGGGCTGGCAGGGCCTTAGAACAGGGAAGGTCAGGGCTGGGAGGGACCTCAGAACAAGGAATGTCAGAGCTGGGAGGGCCTTAGAACGGGGAAGGTCAGGGCTGGGAAGGCCTTAGAACAGGGAAGGTCAGGGCTGGGAGGGACCTCAGAACAAGGAATGTCAGAGCTGGGAGGGCCTTAGAACAGGGAATGTCAGAACTGGGAGGAGCCTTAGAACTGGCAATGTCAGAGCAGAGAGGGGCTTTAGAACAGGGAATATCAGGGCTAGGAGGGAGCTTAGAACGGGGAAGATCAGGACATAGCATGTTAGAACCCAGAATGGGAGGAACTCTTAAAGAGCATCTAGTCCACATGACCATAGTGAGGCCCACGGAAAGGAAGTGATTTGCCCAAGGTTACACTGGGCTTTTGGCAGAGCCAGGAGTAGAAGCCAGGGCTCTGGACTCTTACACCAGAATTCTTGCCCCTGCATCCTGCTGCACTGTGCTGGAGAGATCATAGGTGCTGGGCCGGGGGAGGGGGAGGGGGAGGCCAGAGTAGACTTGAATAGTCAGGGAAGTCTTGGAGGACCAGGGTCTTGGGTGATGGCAAGGTCAAGGGTCAGGGTAGGAATATCTGGCATCCCTAATCTAACTTTTTTCCCCCTCTGACTTTCTCCGTAGCCAAACGCCCAGCCCCTGCCCGGCCCATGGTGCCTCCACCCCAGGTCCTGAATCCCCGATCTTCACCCCCAACCATTCCCACTACGGTCCCAACCCCAACGCAGCCTCAGCCGCAGCCACAGTCCCAGCCTCAGCCTCAGCCCCAGCCCCAGCCCCCTACCCCAGGGAGTCCTGCTACTCCCAGGGCCCTCCCCCGACGTCAGGCAGGCAGCAACATTAAGGCCCCCTCTGTGCCACCTCCATTGCCTCCTCAACCTCCCCAGCCTGTGCGCCGGCTAAGCCGACCCTCCCCTGCTTCCCCCAACCCCAGTGCTGAGCCTGAGGTCCCTGGGGAGCCCAGAGGCCCTGAGGGGGAGAGCTGTGCAGCTGGGGTCATCATTCCTCCCCAGCCCCGGCCTAGGACTCTTGCCTCAGAGACCAACTGAGCCAGGGCGGCCTGGCTGCCTCCTCCCACCACAGTGCACTGCTCCTCCCCCTCTCCCCCCCTGCCTCTTCTATTCTCTGGGGCCCCCTTTCCCTCTGGCCCACCCCTGGCCTCATCCCATCTGGGAGCTCCAGTGACTCAGCCCTCAACTGCCTGTGAGACAGGATGGAAATCTCTCAGCCACAAGTGCCTCTGGCCCCCAGCCCCAGCTGGGCTGGTCCCTTGCCTTGGGAGCTGAGGAGGAGCCCGGGCCTTCTCTCTCCCTTCTTCTGGCGCCCCTGGTTCTGGGTGTCCAGAGCCTCTCTCTCCAGTGCCTGGCGGGGTCCAGTCACAGAGGGAAAGAGAAGAGGAACAGGGAGGGCCCTTAGTTTCACTTCCCTAGGAGAGCATCTATTTTCCTTTACCAGAAATGTTTTTGTTTTTGTCCTGGTATAGCTTGTAAATTATTTTGGATTAAATTAGATTGCATTCTGTGTGCGGCCTGGCTTCCCCCTTTGTCCTCCGAATAAAGGTGATTATTGAGAAAGGAAGACACAGCTCCCTCTGTGACTGAAGGTCAGGTTTATTCTGGAACAAACTGTGGTGAGCCTTGTTCCTTCCACCCTCAGAGGGTCACAGGGCATCTGCTCACTACAGCATCGCCGGCCAAGAGTTACACGGCCTGTTTGAACACTTCTGGCAATGGGGTGCTCACCGTCTCATGACAATAACAGTGCTGGCAAGGCACTTTACAAATGATCACATTTGAGCCACACAACAATCTTGGGAGGTAGGTGCTCTTATTATCCCCATTTTACAACTGAGGAAACTGAGGCTGGCACCAAGTTAAGTGATTTTGCTAAAGGTCACACAGCTAGTGTCTGAGACCATATTTGAACTCAGATCTTCTGATACCAGGCCGGGCACAGGTATATACTGCCACATTGCCACCTAGCTGCTTCTATCATATGGCATATGTATATGTATGTGTGTGTGTGTATAAGCTGAATATTATGTAACTTCTATATAGACAAATATAACCTACCTTTCTCTGTGTGTGTGTGTGTATATATATATATATATATATACATACACATATATGTGTATCATACACACAAATATACAATGTATATATTCACAAATATATGTATAGATACAATGTGTGCAAACACAAATATATGTACAATGTATATATACAGAAATATATGTATAAATACAATGTGTATATATACCCACAATCATGCATATACACAGATAACAATGTATATATAGAATGCGCCTATAAATGTAAATATATATACAATCCTTGTGCGTGCACGTATAGACACATATGACTTACTACCTTTCTTTATATGCTTACTGTTTAGTACAGTGACTGCCACACAGTAGACTCCATATAAATGCTTATTCCTTTCCCCTCACTCCCGCCTTGGGAAGGGTCCAAATGCCCACTCGTGATCGGGTTAAAATCCAACCAATCAGTTTCTAGGGGCCCCGCCTCAAGGAAAGGCCCCTCTTGCTCTGGGATGGACTTCCACCCCACAGTCCCAGGAGCCACGTGGGCAGAAAGGATCGAGCCAACTCCCTTCCCCTCCCTTCCCTTCCCGCCGCGGTCACCCAAAGGCCCTGCCCACCCAAAGGCATTTTCCCGGGAAAATCTGACCTTAGCCTAGCAACTACCTCTCCCTCGCTCCTGATTGGCCGTGGCATCCGGGCCGACCCATCTCTTCCATCCGGCTGTCGCTCATTATCGCCTCTTAGTGCTTATTGGACAGTTCCTCCCTCCGACCCGACCTTTAATAGGTGATGTTGGACGTCAATCCCGGCTCAGGCCCGCCCCCAAGCCCACCAGGAGTTGAAAACTCTAAGTGCCCATTGGTCGGTTCCGCCGTTCGCCCACCTCCTCATCTTTTCAAGTTTCCCCGGTCTTACTTCGGGCTCGCGGCCATCATCCCAAGCTCCCCTTCCTTAGTTCTGATTGGTCCTTCTCCCGGAGAAGGAAAATTAGTCACGGATTGGCTGGATTTTTTTTTTGAACTATCCAAGCTGGCTCGCCCCCATGTCGCCGTCATCTCCAGTCCGATGGATGTGGCCTCATGCTGTGGCCCCCGAGTTCTCCGGTACCACAGTGCCCCTCGGCCCGCTTCCACAGGGAGGGCCCAGGGATACCACAACAAAGCTAAGAACGCTGCCCCTCCCTAAGAGGCTGGACCTGTACTCTTTCATTGGTCAGTTCTACCATCAGTTTTGGCTTTGGTCCCGCCTCCTCGAAGGATGTAAGCTTCGGGGAAGTGCATCTTTCAGCCCGTTGGCCCGTTTTGCCTTTGTATGGGCGATGGCTCCACCCAATCGCTGTCTGCCTCTCCTAGCTCGCATCTTTGTTCGCTCTTTGGCTGTCATTTCGAGCCGTGTCCCCACCCGCTTCTGACACTCGGCACCCATTGGTCTCTTTCTGCATCAACGCCGGAATGTATCCGTTCTGGACCCGGCCAGCGGGATACTATTCTCCCATTGGTTGATTCTTTCAGCCCTCTGCGTGGATTGGTTCCTCTCTTTCCACGCCCCTAGGCCGCCCCAGGGACGCTGGGGCTACTCTAGTGGAGGCTGGGACTTCGGGGAGAGGGCGGTGGAGGAGAAGCTCTTCACCTATTGGCCCACTGTTTTGAGCCCGTTGTAAATTTCCTGGCCGTCCCTCCCATTGGCGGCCGCCCCTCGCTCCAGGCCCAGCTCCTCGGCGATGCTTTGCGTCCATTGGCTCCAGGGCGTTGGGCGGGACATTGGGCGGCAGCGGCGACGTCATTCCCGCGGGAGAAAGCCCGGTGGCTGGCCTGGGCTTGCCTGAGCTGGGCCGGGCCGGGCCGGGCCGGGCGGCTGTATGGCGGTCTGCGAGCGCCTGGGCGGGGGCGCCCTGCGGGACCTGCTGGCCCGCACCCAGAGCGTGCTGTTCGACTGCGACGGGGTGCTGTGGAACGGGGAGCGCGCCGTGCCAGGCGCGCCCGAGCTGCTGGAGCGGCTGGGCCGCAGCGGCAAGGCGGCGCTCTTCGTGAGCAACAACAGCAGACGCTCGGTGGCCGAGCTGGCGGGCCGCTTCGCGCGCCTCGGATTCCGCGGCGTGGCGGCCGAGCAGCTGTTCAGCTCGGCGCTGTGCGCGGCCCGCCTGCTGCGCCAGCGCCTGCCGCGGCCCTGCCCGCCGGGCGCCGTCTTCGTGCTGGGCGGCGACGGGCTGCGCGGAGAGCTGCGGGCCGCGGGGCTGCGCCTGGCCGGCGACGAACCGGGGCCCGTGCGCGCCGTGCTCGTGGGCTACGACGAGCACTTCACCTTCGCCAAGCTGAGCGAGGCCTGCGCCCACCTGCGCGACCCCGAATGCCTCCTGGTGGCCACCGACGTGGACCCGTGGCACCCACTCAGCGACGGCCGCACCACCCCCGGTGAGGGCCGGGGGGGCGTGAGGGGGCAGGGCGCAGCCTGGGAGGGTTGGCCTGAGCTCGGGATCCGTCGGGCCAGCCGCAGCTGCGGGAACACTGGGAGCGAGAAGGGAGGGGAGGATGGGCCTCGGAGAACAGTCAGGGGCTGGGGGCTGGAGGCTGGGGGCGGTGCCGGCCTATGTTCAGGGCTCAGCTTGGGGGAGGGAGGGAGCCCCAGGATTCTGTAGAGTCTTGGGGGGCTGGTACCTCCCCAGCGGCAAGATTCCTGGGAAAGAGCAGAGGGAAGGGTCGACCTAGAGGACTGGAGGAGAATCAGGGGGCAGGGGGTGGTGCCAGACTAAGGTCAGGGCTTTCATCTTATGAGGGGAAGGGGAAGGAGGGACCCTGGTATCCTTGGAGGAGAAACTAGGGAGGTGGAACCTCTCCGGGGGAATATCCTCTGGGGGAAGGGAGGATGGATCTAGGATAGGAAGAAATCAAAGACCCCTGGAGGGCAGTACCAGCCTTCAACCTGGTCAGGAAGGGACCCCAGGATTGGCCATCAGCTCTGCTGGAATGGCACCTTTCCAATTCGCCTGGGAGAGGGAAAGGTGGACTTCAGATAAGGAGAAACCCAGACCCCGGGGGGGGGGCGGTGTTACAGGCCAGAGGTCAGAGCCGAGCCAGGAGAAGGTGGAGCCCCAGAATCTGCTGAGTTAGCCCCCGGGTATGGTACATCTTCCTGTTGCCAGCTCTCTGGCAGAGGGAAAGAGAGGCAGAAAATCTAGCCCAGTATCTTTGGGGAGGAGAAGAGGATAGAGAGAACAGATGCTGGGGATGGAGAGACTCTTGGCTGAAGCACTGCACATTCCAGAGTGAGGGGAACCTGGGATGGGGAGGATGGCATCTGGGACCTGGGAAGGGGGAGAGGGCAATTGCACTTGCTTAGGGGCTGCAGGGCCCCTGGGGCTGTTTTGATTCATATTCTAGATCTGGGAGTGAGAAAGTTGTAGGGAGGCTGCCTTGGAGGGTGTGAGTGGTACCTTCTGATCTTGGGGGCCAAGGTTCCATTTCTGTTTCAGGACCTCATGGGATAGAGGCCAAGCTGGGTCAGGGAGGACTAGGACAAGAGTAGCACCTCTTCAGTGATGAGGGTGATGCAGAAGCCTTGCCTCAGGTCCTAATCTGATCAACTCAGACAGGTTTCTGGTGAGATGGAAGAGAGCGGGGCCCACATAAGGCCACCTGTGGCCAAGGGCTGGCCAAGCTTTCGTGAAGTCATGCGTGTGGAGTGAAGTAGGAAACCCATGCCTTCTCAGTGATGAGTAGATGCCTAGATTCCATGGGGCCAGGATGGTGTCTGGGGCAGCATCCACTGGACAGGATTGCAAGACCTACCATCTGACCCAGTGGGGAAGCTAAGATGACCTGGGACAGGCTGAAGTGAGGCTGGCCTTAAGCTGGGGAGGCAGGAATGACTGTCAGCTTCTGGGAGAGGACAAGGGGAAGGCTTGGACCTTTATCGAAAGTTTTCATTTCTATACCACTTTACAAAACACTTCCCCGGATAGCCCTGTCTGGAAATTCTGGAAATTCCCTGTGATCCAAGAGCATTACAATTATCAGTCCCATTTTTGCAGATGACATGTTGGGCACAGAAGGGGTAATCCACTTACCCCAGGGTCATGGTGTCAGAGCTGCTGACTCTAATACCAGGGCATTGCCCCACACTCTCTGCTTTGGCAGGATCAAGGTAGGCCAGATGCCCATAGTTGCTTTGGTTTGTGTCTATTTAGAGTTACTAAGTCACCATCACAGTGCCTGACATAGGATGGTGCCCACCATAGGCACTGATGTCTTTTGCATGAACACATAGCTTTGCAAATTGATCTGGAATGATTTGTTACCTTTTTTTTAAAACAGTTGGGGAAACTGAGGTTGAGAGGTCACATGGTTAGTGGCAGAACAGAAGTAGAGTACATATTTCCCAGGGCTCTCACTAGCATCTTCTCTGATCCTGGCTTAGGAGAAATAATTAGCTTCTAAGGAATCTATTGGATTATAGATTAATCCTGGCTAGGATTCGTTGACTGGTATTCAGAGAGAATATTGAGTGGGAGTGGGGCTCTGGTGGGTTCCACAATGAAGAGTTTCCATCTTAACGGATCCTCAAGAAGTCCTCAAGACAGGAACAATTAATATTAGCGGTAGGAGGGAATGAGGAAAGAGGCAAATTTCTGTCAGACTCTGTTCAGAGAGGACATGTTTTAGAAATCAGAGCTCAGAATTTGGAAGGGACCTCTAATCCAACCCCTACCAGAAAAGGAATCCCCACAACCTAACAGACATGTGGTTATTTCGCCCCTGCTTGGACACTTCCAAAAACCATGGTGCCTTATCTCTCTTCCCCAGCTCTCCTCATTGCACAGAAAGGGTCCTACCCTCTATCCAACTCTGGGGTGGACTAGGTAACTTCTGAGCTGTTCAGTGCAGTTCTTGGAAGGAGAGTCAGGCTGGAGAGGCAGGATGACGAAAGGCCTAGATGTCAGGGATGTCAGGGGTCGGGAGAAATAAGGACGTTTAGCCTGGAGAAGAGCCTCAGGGTGAAGGGCACATGATGTCTGTCTTCAAGAATTTGAAACACTTGTGGTCCTGCCCTCTGGGGCCAAGCAGAACCATGGATATCAGTGTAAACAGGCAGATTTGGGCACGAAGAAAAGAAAAAATTCCTAACAACTCAAGCCATCCCAGAATGGGGTGGCCTGCCTCTGGAGGGGTTGCCATTCCTGGAAGTCTTGAGCCAGTGCCTGGATGACTCCTTGTTAGATGTATGCCAGGGGTCGCTAGTTGAGCTGGCTTCCCTCTATAACCCTTTTAGTGGGAAAGTGGTCCTGCACATCTGGTTGGGGGAGGGCAGGGGAGACCCAGCACAGAGCAAGTTGGAAAGTAATCAGTTTCATGCTAGAGACTGGAGATCCCCACAAAGGAAAGCCCACACAAATTCAATTCACCCAGGCCATTCAGATGGTTGTCCTTTAATGAAGGAAGGCTTCAGGCCTCCCCTGCCCCCACCTGTATCTCCAGAGCAGGGTATGTGTGCCTGCAGCTAAGTGGGACAGAGTTCTGGAATGAGAGGAAGGGTGTCCTGGAGGTGGGAAGACTTGAGGGAAGGGAAAAGGGCAGGTCTGACACCCAGCAACAGGAATTTCTAAGGGTCAATAGCTAGGTGGGAAGAAATAATAATCAAATTTGGGGTTCTGGAGCAGTGTTGAATCATTGAATAAACATTTAGAAAGTGATCTGAGTCCTGTGCCAGGCCCCACGATATGAATAAAGCTCTCCCTGCACTCAGGAAACTTCCATTTTGCCAGAAGGGAAACAGCCTAAACCTCAGTATGTAGTCATTTCTGATGCAGCTGGGGACTCTGGAAGGCCCTCGTGTAGGAGGTGAGCTTTGAAAGAAACTGGAGATTTGAAGAGATAGAAGGGGAGGGACCCTGAATGGGATGATTTGGATAAAGGGGGTGAAGAGGGGGACCTGCCTTCACAGTCTGAAGCTCCTGAAAAAGAATTTTGATTTTTATGTGTGTCTTTTGTTATATTACCTTCATTTCAGGATTATATTCTTCACCCTACACCCAGTAAGCTGACCCTTATACAAAGAATAACACATGAATCCAGTGCTCAGCTCCCATAGCCCCCCACCTCTGCAAAGAAAGGCCAGAAGGGAATTTTTTCCCATCTCTTTTCCTGGGCTAATTCTTCATTGTTGTTGTATCGCTTCCTTTTGATAAAGACATCTAAATTAAATGTTTGATTACAAACAACTTTGCACATTGACACGTGATACAACATTTGAAAATTTTGAGGAGAGAGGATTACTTCCCATTCAGGGCATCCAGGAAGGCTTCATGGGAGAATTCTAAAGGAAGGGAACAGACTGATAGTAGAGGGATTGGGTGGGGATGGGAGGAGTCTTCCTGGAAATAAGACCAGAAAGAGGCTTGTTGGCACCATCATCTCGAAGTTGACCTCATCACTCCCTTGTTCAGTGAACTCCATATCTCCCTATGGCTTCTAGGAGCAGATCCAAGCTCCTCTACCAGCTGCCTAAAGAAAGCCCTTCACCCTTGGGCTCCAGCCTTATCTTGCAGGACTCTCCTTCATACACTTTGCTTTCTGGCCAAACCAATCGACTTACAAAAAATAATCACCATAAATTTTGGTATGTTAATTTTTTTTTTTACAAAATGTCTCCCAGTGTTCCTCCCCCTTCCAGGGAGCCCTCCCACAGAGCAAATGATATTTTTTCAAAGAAAAAGAAGACAGGGGTAAAAAATAGAAAAAAAAAAAAAGAAACGGTCAATATGTTGAAGAAGTCTGAAAATAGAGAGGCAGTGTTTCACAACCATGGACCTCCCCCTTCTGTAAAGAAGTTGAGGGAAATGTCTACTTTGGAGTCGTTCCTGTTATTTGTAATTTCGAACCATTCACTTTGGATTGCTTTGCGTTAGTGGTTGTTTCCATTTATGTTGTAGAATGTATTTAGTATTGACTTGACTTAATTTTCTTGGTTCTGCAGACTTCACTCTGCATCAGGTCATGTAAAGCTTCCTAAGCTTGTCTGTGGTCGTCCCATTCATTGTGTACTGTAGCACAGTAATATTCCATTACATTCATTTACACAATTTGTTTATCATTCCCCAGTTAATGGTCATCTACTTTGTTTCCAATTCTTTGTTACCACAAAAAGTACTACTATAAATATTTTGGTGCACATGGAAATTTTGTTCCCAATGAAATCCACGGGTATAAATCCAGTAGTTGAATCTCTGGGTTAAAGGGTATGGTTGCCTTATTTGCTTAATTCGAAATTGTTTTCCAGCTCCACCAACTATGTACTAATAGGCCTGTCTTCACGCAACCTCTCCAACATTAATTTATCTTCTGTCATCTTTGCCAATGTGTTGGATGAGTGGAAGAAGCCCTAGGGCTGTTTTGATTTGCATTTTTCTCATGAGTGATTTGACATATTCTTTAACATGGTTATTACTAGCTTTCAGTTCTTTTGAGGGCTGTTTCTTCATCCTTCTGAGAACTTAACTATTGGGGAATAGCTTTTCGTTTTATAATATGTTAGTTGTATATCTTGGATGTGAAGCTGTTATCTGGAAAATTTAATACAAAGATCTTTTCCTATTCACTACTTCCCTTATCCTAGGTGCATTAATTTTGTCTGTGCATTGGCTTTTCCGTTTCATGTAATCAAAGTTATCTCTTGATCTCATTCAGTTAAGAATATATCTTCTACCTATAGTCATGAGAGGTATATGATGTTTCTGTTCTTGTTTTTTTATATTTTAATTTTTAGTATTAGTTTCCTGGAAGTTTCCTTTTTTTCCTCCATTTCCTCTTACGTAAAACAAAGATGTTGGCCTCAATGTCCAGCATCTGCTGGACAACTCTTACTGTTGTATATGGTCATATCCATTTAAAACATATTGTGGAATATGGTAGGTGTTGGTCCAAGCCGAATTTCTGTGAGATTTTTTTTTTGGCAAGGCATTTGAGGTTAAGTGACTTGCCCAGGGTCACACAGCTAGTGAGTGTTATGTGTCTGAGGCCAGATTTGAACTCAGGTCCTCCTGACTCCAGGGTTGGTCTAGCTGCCCCTCTGCCAGACTTCTTTCCAGCAGTTTTTATCCATTAGGGAGTTCTTTCCTAAGTAATTTCTGTTTTCTGCTTTATCAAACCCTGAGTCATTGAGTTCCATTGTTCTAAATCTTCCTCATCTCGTTGTTTCCCTTCATCTATTTTTTCTGTCCATCTTTCTGTCTGTCTATTTACGGACACCAGTTGGTTTGGGCAGCTGCTGCCTCATAATACAGTTTGAGGCCCAGAAATGATAGTCCTCTGCTGTTTCTAATTCATCACATTTCATTTTCCATCTTCACACCTTTGCATAGCTTGTCCCTTGTGGTTGGAATGCCCTGCCTCCTCACCTTGGCCTCTTAGAATCCCTGGCCTCCTGCAGAGCTCAGCTCAGACACCACCTCCAGGAGGCCTTTCCTGATCCCCCCAGATTCACTGTGGGTACCTATTGTGCATATGTGTTGTTTTCCTCCAGTGGAATATCGGTTTCCTGAGGTCAACAGCTGTACTTTTTGTCTCCATCCCCCCATGCCTAGCACAGTGCATGGCCCATCTTTGTTACCGTTCAGTCATTTCAGTCACGTTTGACTCTCCGTGACTCCATTGGGGTTTTCTTGGCAGAGATACTGGAGTGGTTTGCCATTTCCTTCTCCAACTCATTTTACAGATGAGGAAACTGAGGCAAACAGGATTAAGTGACTTGCCCAGGGTCACGCAGCTAGTAAATTACAGAAGCCAAATTTAAACTCAGGACTTCCTGACCCCAGACCTGGCCCCCTATCCCTTCACCACCTACCTTCTGCCTGGCCCATCCACTAGGACAAATAAGTACTTTATGAGTGATTGACCAAGATAGGCAGGAATGGCCCACCTTCATCATTCCTTCTCTGCCTTGGGCCCTAAGGCCTTTGAAGGGCCTGGGATTACCCAGAAGAGAAGGCTATGGATGCCTTAGACTCTTTGATGGCATTGTAGACCTTAACTGACAGGAAGCAACCAGGTGTTAATAAAGACAGAAGACAAAACAGGCATAGCTCTCATAGGAAAGACTGGAGTTTGGCTATTGGGCAGAATTCCATGTGACCACACTGCTTTAGGCTTCAGGAGCCTCTAGTCCTCATCCAAGCCCCCTCTTTATTTCCTAGGACTAAGGCTCCTTCCCATCTCTGGGCCTCAGCTCCTTTAGATCTTTCGTCTGCAGAATGAGGGGATTGGGTGCAGTCTAAGATTCCTTCTAGTTTTGACGGGCAGTGGTTCTGTGAGTCTCGAGAAGCTGCAGACTTTTAAAAAATATGATCCACATTAAAGAGTAAATGAAGCAAGAGGGAGAGAATTTGGAACTCAGAAGTATAAAATATTTTTACATGTCATTGGGAAATAGATATAGATATAGATATATATTTTAACAATGAATGAATGAGGCACCGAATTGGCCATGAGGCTCTTCTGAGCCCTGGCCCATGTGCTGGCCTCTGGGCCTTTATGATATCCCATTGAGTCAGCTAGATGGTGGAATGGAGATGTCAGACAGACAGGACTGAGTATTTGCAGAGTAGGGTTTGTCTCTGCAGCTTGAGGAAAGCAACTTGTGCATTCCTCATTTTAGCAAACTAGGTTCTGTGGTAGGTGGCTGAGCCTGTGTCCCTGCAGTGAAAGGGAGAGAGGGGGAAAAGGCAGCGTATTGACACTTCAGGCATCAATTCAAACATACTCTCTGTGGGGCACTTGGTTCCCTCACAACATCCACTGTGTGCTGAGCTCAGTATCACCAAGAAGGAAATGGGACCGGTGTTATTCTTTTCCATTTGTCAACTGAGGAAACTGAGACTCAGACTGGAATAAGTCCTAATTGTATCCTTTTTGCTCTGGTCTCCCGGTAACAGAAATGCCTAAGACTCTAATTGAGGAAGTTGTTAGCACTCTTCCTTCTGATAGACCCATGGGTTAAAGCAGGGAAGCAAAGCCCTGTGGGGAGACCATGGAGTCTGGTAGCCAGGCAGGCTGGCCAGAGAGGGGTGAGGAGAGCCGAGCATCCTCAGTCTAGAGCTGGAAGGGACCTCAGAGCCTATCAAGTCCAACTCCATCATCTTACAGAGGGGGAAACTGAGGCCCAGGGATTGTAACAATCCAAGGCCTCACAGGTCAGGGGCACAGCTTTCTGGAACCTTCCTTAATACTCCAAGCCCTTTCTCTGCTCCCCTGCTTCCCATACACCTTTTAGCTGGAATTGGTCTGTCTGTCACAGGTGCTGAAAGGGTTGTTCCTGCCTGGAGAACTGAAGTTTCCCTTCCCTTAATAAATAAATTCCCTTCCCTGTTTTTGCGTAGCAGTTTCCAGATGTAAACCTCCCTCCTCTCAAAGCCATCCCTTATAACAAAGGAGAAGAAAGGAAATCAGTAGCAGCTCAGCCTTACCTGACTGTATGTGCAATTTTCCACACCCATCGCCTCCCTCCATTCCCTTGCCCCCCTCACTACCAGGGGGAGAGGAGCACTTTCTCATCTCTTTGCTGGGAAAATCCTCAAAGGGATTCTCCTCCAAACCCTGAAAGAACTTCTTTTCTCACCCCCTGAGGCCTCTCTCTGGAAACTGCGCAGTGCAAAGAGAAATAGATCTGGACTTGGCCTTAGGGGTGATCAGCTGTGGTCCTGTCAGCAGCTGGGGTCCCACTCCCCACAATGGAAGGGGGATGATCAGTGTACAGACATTTGGGGATCACTCACTCTAGGCCATGCCCAGTGTCAGAGAGAGGAAGGAGATGCAGCCCCCAGCTGTGGGTGGAAAGAGCCTCTGGGTGCCGGGAGATGCAAAGATGAAAGCCAGGTTCCAGTGCAGCCTGTGCTGGGAATTGGCTGTGTGGCTGAGGGCAGGCCTTAGTACCTCTCTGAGCCTGGTTTGTTGAGTCAGATGGTGGCCTTAGGTCGTGATATTGACATGGTGCACATTGACTCACTCCCTGAGCAGAGCCCAGCACTGGGAGAGAGACAGAGGAGGACTGGAGGTGTGATTTTGATTTGGGCGATTCCAGAATGAGAAAAGCCCTCCCTCTACCAATGCAGGTCAGCACCTTCCCTGCCAGGAGGACAGGAGCTTCAGTAACTTGCTCAGGGATCATTTGGCCAGTAAGTGTGGCATGTGAGATTTGAACCCGGGTCCCGCTGGCTCTTGACACTTCCTCTAGCTAGAGAGAAACTTTGGGTAACATGCCTGGCGCTCATGGTCTAGGGGGCAATAGGACAGGCACATAACTAATATTTAATTTTGTAAAAAATGTACCTTTCCTCCTTTTCCTGGGGACACTGAGAGGTTATTAACTTACCCAGGGTCACAATGCCATGATCAGAGGGAAGAATTGAGCCCAGGCCTCTATCCATTGCACCACACTGCCTCTCAGAAGTGTATTGGGAGTGGGGACTGGACCTAGAACCTGTCAAATGAGAGAGTCCAGTCTAGCAATGCAGGTTTACACCTCTGTGACTCAAGAAAGGTGCCTAGAGCTCTGAGAGCTGTCCAAGGTGGCGCCCTAACCCAGAAGACCATGCTGCATCTCCATGATAAATCTAAGATGGTGGGTTTGACATGATAAGGAATCAGAGCTATAGTGGGGGGAGGGGAAGTTCCAGGCTTCCATTTCTCCTTTCCCATCTCAGACTCAGCATCTCTCTTTTCCCTCCACTCTACTCCACAGGGACCGGGAGCCTGACAGCAGCAGTGGAGACAGCGTCAGGGCGCCGGGCGGTAGTAGTGGGCAAACCCAGCACCTACATGTTCGAGTGTATCACAGAGCACTTTGGCGTGGACCCATCTCGCACCCTGATGGTGGGTGACCGGCTGGAGACGGACATTCTCTTTGGTCACCGCTGTGGTCTGACCACCGTGCTCACCCTCACTGGAGTCTCCAGGCTGGATCAGGCCCAGGCCTGCTTGGCTGCAGGCCAGGTTGACCTGGTACCCCACTACTATGTGGACAGTATTGCAGACTTGATAGCAGGCCTAGAGGACTGAGGCAACCTGACCAGAGGCAGGGCTGTCATCCTACCCCCATTTTTTCTCCCCAGTCTTTTTAACTCTATGCTCATGAGAGGACCCCTTCCCCAATCCCCATATCCTGATCCAGTTTGGATGTTTTCCTCCCCCTAACCCCGCCATACACAGACACACACACACACACACTCTCTCTCTCTCTCTCTCCCTCTCCCCCTCCCCCTCTCCCCCCCCCCTCCATCTTCTGGGATCAGTAGGTCAGGACCTGCTTCCCAGCTCCCCAAGGGACCTAGCTATCCCTTCTCCCTTTAGGTTGGGCTAGGTGTCCTCTCCCCACATTATCTCCTGCTTCCCTCTACTGGGTGCCATTTCCCTAATGGCAGCATCCCCTCCCCCTCACCACTTAAATCAGCCCCACTTCCCCCTTCTCTCAGCTCTGAAGGTCGATGCTGCCTTAACTTCTCTTCTTTCTCCTCACTTTCTCTCTTCTAGACCCAGGAACTATGACTCTGGGGGCACAGGGTGCCTCTGTTTCCTTCTCTGTAAAAATGAGGGTGTTAGACTAAATGACCTCTGAGCCCCCTTCCAGCTCTGAATCTATGATCCTAAGGGGCCCTTTATTGCAACACTCTGTGCCATTAATTCCCAGCCCCCTTGTTCTGCCTAGTTCAGGGGCTTCCCCTCTCCCATACACACCTACACACACATACACACACACACACACACACCCCCACCCCCTTCCAATGGGTTGAGCTTGGGGCCTGAATCCAACTGAGCCAATCAGCCTGGTTCAAAGTTCTGGAGCATCAAGTGTGGGTCACTGAGTTATGTCTCCTAAGGGACCAATCAGAAGTCTGGAATCCATTCAACTTCCAGGTCTTAGTGGACCAATGGGAGGGAGTGCCCTGAGTGCAGTTGGAGGGGCCATGTGGTTCCTGCCCAGATTTTAAGTGGAATGAGAACCCTGCTCCCCAAGGGCTGTGATGGACATGGTGGGACCCTCGATCTCTTTCCCTGAGACTGTTGATGTGCTTTGTCCCCCTGCCCCAGTATTTATTTACCAATTTATTTATTGAGGTGTTAGGATGCTCCAGGAGGGGTCACCATGACCCCTCTAAATGTACCCACATCCCCTCTTCCCCTCCAGGTACTTGGAATTGAATAAAGCAAGCCCTGGAATTCCTGTGTGTCTGGCCATGAGGTATCATTGGGGATTTAAGGCTTTCCTCAGAGCTGTCCATACTCAGCTGGCCAATGTCTGGTCTACTCCATTCCCCCCAAATGCTGGAAAATCAATCTGTAAGCACTTACAGAGTCTCTCATATGGGCCCCTGAGTCCCTGTTGGGCATAAGGAAAGACAATTCTCGCACCCTTACCCAAGTCCTATAGAAATTCTGGGTATGGATTCTTAGTATGTTGTGTGCAGGGTCAGTGGGTGAGAAAAATGCAGACTGTTAACTTTGTCTCTCTCTCCAATGCTCTGTATACAGTGGGCACTTAATAAATGTGGAAGTAGCTATGAGAGCTTCCTGGAGGAAGGCGTTATGAGCAAGGATTGGAAGGGAGCTGGAGGGGTAGTATCCTGATGAAAGCTAGAGGAATGGCCCATGAGAAGGGGTGCTCAGAGCACAAGGCCACTGCTGCTAAGGACACCTTAGGAATTGGCCAAAAACATGGTCTCTGTAGCTACTACCACAGGGCAACCAGTGATATGGGAAGGGTTTCCTGGAGGAGAAGGGATTTGACTTACAGCTAGAAGAAACCATAAAAGTCACCTAGGCCAACCCCCCCGCCCCATTTTACAGATGAAGAATGAGATCCAGTATTGAGTAGGGGCTTGTGGAAGGTTAAAGTGGCAAGAGCAGGATTTGACCTCATGGCCTCTTCCTCCAAATCCAGCATTCAAGCAGCTATCAATACAAGGGAAGTAGGGTGGGAAACTGAAGGTGTTTGGACAAGTTCCCCCAAGGGGTGGAATGGAGGGAGCTGTTTATCTGGGACTTGGACCTGGAACGGAAGAAGTAATAATAACCTCATGTTTCTGTAGCACCTGAAAGCTTGATTTGTTCTTCTGGGCCCTAGGGATCAGGATGAAGAGCATTTGGGGCAAGGGGTGGAATTGGGACCATTGGATCAAACATAGTCTTAGAGGTGGAAGGGACCATTTGACTCAATCCTTTTACAATTGAGAAGTGAAGCAATTTGTCCAAGATTACAGAAGAATTAAGTTGGGGAGTGTTTGTTATTTGATTTTGTTTAATCTATCTCCCCTAGGCGGGAAGTGCAGGTGTTAATAATGGACCTGGTCCCTGTCTGATCAGTATGGAATCTTTGACTTGCTCCATTTCCTAGGCAGCCTGCTGGCTCACCATATTGGTGTTATCTTAGCTCAGACACCTGATTGGCTTAGCCCACTGCTGCTCAAAACTCCCAAGGATGGCTCAAGAGATCTGCCAGTCATAACCTCTCCAGGAGCCCAGACTCCAGGCCTGAGCCACCACACTTGCCCCAGAACCAGGATAGGAACTGAGATGCCCCCAACTTTTCTACTGTACTATGAAGTGTACTTGCAAAGAGTCATATTTCAGCTAGATGTGAGGAGGAACTTCCTAAAAACCAGAGGTTTCCAAATGTGAAGTAGGCTGCCTTGGGAAGCATTGAGCTCTCTCTTATGGAATCAGTCCAGATAGGGACTGACTGATTTTTCTATAGGGAGTGCTATAGAGGGGACTTCACTCAAATACAGGTTGAATGAGATGGTCTGAGTTCCCACCCTGGTTGGAGAGCCTATAATTCTAGGACCTCAAGATCAGTGCCTTTGGAGCCTCTTTTAGGTTTTTTTGTCCTAAAAATCTCACTGTGGCTATCCTCTTCTGCCTCTCTGTCCCCAAGAGGGAAGGCCCAGGGGCAATTGAAGGCCCCCTGGGGAAGTCGGGAATGAGTGAGTGGACCCAGATATGTCCAAGTCTAGCCTGAGAAGGTCTTGGACCTTCAAACAGGGAGGAGTTGGTGCTCAAGGGTGGAGCTAGAACTATAACATGTAAGGTGTGTGTTAGGGGGAGAGAAGCAGGGAGTTCGGGGTTGGTGGAGGCTGGGAGAGACTGGAATTTCATGTGGAAGAATATGAGCTCAGCCCACAAGAAGTAGCAGCCAAAATCCAGCATGTGGGGGTGGAGGAATTCTGGAGTGCACATGACCTCAATCCCTTACTGGCCCTAGAGAGACACAAAAGCTCAGACTCTCACAGGTCATCAGGCAGAGCCACCCCCACTCCCGAAGGAACGGCCTTTAGAGCAAGAGAAGAGAGCGGAAAGGACGAGAGAGGGAGAGGCAAGAGGAGAAGCAGGATGATTGAGAGAGCTCACGGGCTTGTAGTTCTCAAACTCAAAGAACCAACCCTCTTGTTTTACAAAAGTGGAAACTGAGGTCCAGAGAAACGGAATGAGCTGTCTAAGGCCATATCAATATACCATCAGAGTCGAGATTTTCACCCAGGTCTCCTGACTCCAGAGAGAGCATTCTTTCACTGTACCATATGACCTTCCTGTGATAGAGAGAGGATGAGAAAAGAGAAAAGGAGTGAGGGGGTTGGCAAAATGGGTAGAAGAGATGAGCCCGACAGAGAGATGAGACAGCTAAGGAGATATGAAACAGGGTGGGTGAGAGACATGAGAGGGAGAGATGAAAGATGAGGGGAGAGACGAGAGGAAGTGAAAGTGATAAATAATGCAGAAGGAAAGATGGAAGGAGTGATGAGAGCATGAAGAGATGAATAATGGAGGAGAGAGAAGAGGCAGGGAGAAGAATCTCAGAATTTAAAATATCGAGTGCAGCCTCCTCTACTTAATGAAGAAATGTCCTCCAGATGAGAAACAAGAACAGGGAGGGAGAAACAGAGGGATGAGAGATATAACAGGAGACTAGCCAAAGGTAAGGTGAAGGAAAAAGAAAGTGGGGGGAGGGGGGAGGACAGGAAGAGAGAGACAGAAACAGAGGGGGAAAGTGAGAGGAAAGACAGAAATGAAAGAGAATGGAAGAGATGAATAATGGAGAAGGAAAGATGGAGAGATGAGAGGATGGAAGAGATGAATAATAGAAGAGAGAGAAGAGGCAGGGAGAAAGAGAATCCCAGGATCTTCAATACCTAGTTTAAACTCTTCCACCAAATAGAGAAATGCCCTTCAACTGAGAAAGAGGACAAGAGAGGTGAAATATAAAAGCAGAGATGAAAAACAGGAAAGGAGAGGAAGGAAAGGGAGAGATGAGGGAGAGGGAAAGTGAGCAATAAGAGAGAACTTGTTTGGGTAACACATTCTAAAAGAGAAATGAGAGAGAGGGACACAGGGGGTTGGGAAAAATTAGAGACCAAGAGGGAGGGATGAAAGCTGGAAAGATTGGAGTCAGGGAGAGGGAGAGATTTGAGAGAGCTAGCTAGAACCCCAAGGAAAAGTGGGGCTATGGGCAGGCACACCAGAGCTCAGGTGTGAATAAACTAAGTCCTGAAGGAAATTTGGGCCTTAGAGGAGCCCCAGAAGCCAATCTAGGTAGGCTGGGCAGACCCAGGACTGGTCACTTCCTTCAGAGAGAGCATTTGTTGGAGGGAAAGGATGACTAGGACCAGCCAGAGAGCCCCAAATGGAAAGGGGCATCAACCAGAAAAGGGTGGGTGGCCTCCCAGACCCCTGTGGCTGCCCTGTCTCACCCTGTGAGGAAGGAGAAGATAGGAGAGGCCTAGGTTAGAATCCTGGCACTGCCCTGCTAGCTGTGTGACCCAGGGGTGTCCACGTGCCTGCACTGAACCTCAGTTTCCTCTTCTATAAAATGGGGATAATAACTCAGGAACAGGGACAGAAGTCTCAGATTCTGGACTCCCAAAGCCACCTCCTTCTCTAATTGAGAAAGGGCCTATCTGGAAGGGTAGTTGAGCATCTACCTGGTCCAGAACTTAATCTATCAACAGTGTCCTAAGCACCTACTCCATTGGGCTAGGCTGGGGGATACAAGCAAAAAGCAGACCGGTCCCTGCCCTCCAGGGCATTTTGTGTTCTTTTGTTGTCGTTGTTGTTTTAAACCAAGATTGGGGTAAATGATTTGAAAGAAATCCCTCCTGGGCTCAAGAGAAGGAATGTTTTCCACCATTCATAAAGACCATTAGTAACTACCCTGGTTGAGCTCTAGGTAGGGCTTGAAGGTGATCTGTGGGTCACACAGCTGGTAGTGCAGTACCAGGAGATGGTGGAAGTGGGCCAACTTGACCTGAAAGGTCCTTTCCAATCCCGATTTTATGATCCCTGCCAGACCTAAATCCTATGATCCTGTGTAAAGGCAGAATTTCCTGGCCTCTTATGGCTGGTGAAACCAAAGGAGTTCAGGAGCAGACAGAGTTACTGGCCAGTATAGACTCTGCCTCAATTGGGTTCCTGCTAGGGGAGGGAGAAGCCTCCTTAGGCCTCAGTTTCCCATTACGTAAAATATAGGTGTTTGGCACATGACATTACAGTGGAAAGTTGAGTCTTGAAAAGGGTGTGGTGTGTGTGTGTGTGTGTTGTGTGTGTGTGTGTGTATGTGTGTGTGTGTGTGTGTGTGTTTATGTTCAAAACTGCCAATTCATCCTTAGCCCTTCTAGGTTGAAAGTGACATCTATGAGGCTGGGCTAGGCCCAGCTGGCACATCTGGCCTCACATCTCTTCCCTACAATTAAGGTTTCCTGAAGTCCTGAGTGAGGGGAAAATAAAGCTTTCCACCACCCCTCCCATGCTCCCCAATAGCAGTGTGGTCTTTGGCGGGGAGAAGGGAGGCCACACCCACAGCCAGAGGGGTCTGCAGCTGCAGCCCAGCTCTGCTCCCTCCCTCTTTCATCTTCTTCCAGGGTTCTTGGGTGGGGGAGAACAAGGGGCCCTAAAAGGGGGCTTGACTTTGCCAGGACTATGGGAGACAAAGGGGCTGGAATCCAGCTCAGGATATGAGTCACTTGGGGTTGGTGGGGGGCTTGGGAGGAGGGGAGCTATGTCTGTTCTGCCCTGCTCATTGCTGGGAACTTCTTCTGCTGGAGATCATGGTTTTTGTTACTCCAACCTCTCCAAGGTTTATGGAGAGCTTCTCTTGCCCTTGACATAGATGGTGGGAGAAGGAATAGTTAAGGGTGTGCTGGGCTTCGGTCCATGAGCCTTGTGTGCAAATAGAGGGGCTGTCCTGCAGGAAAGGATTGAGCCTGGTCCTGCTCAGCCCCAGAGGCAGAATCAGGAGGAATTAGAGAAAGGTGCAGAGGGACCTGTCCATTCAATACAATGAAAGCTGTCCGGAAGTGGAACCAGTTGATGCCATAGGGAGTGAATTTCCCATTGTTGGAGGTCTTCAAAGAAAGCCTCCTGACCATTCGAGGGGAATATTTCAGAGGAAGGTGTTATTTCAAAAGATGTATGAGGTCTCTTGCAAGTGGAGATTTGATGATTCTGTTCGGGGATAGGGATAGGGACCCAATATCTGATGATACCATATGTATTGGGAGCTTTCAGGTGAGCAAACTCCACCTTCCCCCCATCCAAGTCTACATAGTCTTGGAGCAAGGTATTTAGACTGATTTGTGTCACAGACCCCCTGGGCAGTCTGCTGAAGCCCTTCTGAAAAAAATGTGTTGTTTTGTGTTTTTTAATAGTAGAAGGAAATGGTACATTTCAGTTAAAGTTCAGTGAAAATAAAGATGCAGTTTCTTTTTCCCTCTCCAAGTTCACAAATCCCTTGTAATCTATCCACGACCCCGGAGATTTGTTAACTCATTAAGAACTCCTATCTTAGAGGGTGACCTCAAGCCCTGAGAAGTTAAGTGACTTGGAAGGTGGGATTTGAACCCAGGTCTTCTCGACTTTGAAAGAGTGGATCTCCATCCACCATGATGTCCTGCTTTTAATTCTATTAGGATCCCAATTTACAGATGAGCAAACTGAGGATCAAAGAATTGAAGAGACTTGCGGCTATAGATCCTGGCCTTCAGTTCCCCTCATGAGAGGCAGGGGTGAAAGAGTAGGGAAGATGGGGAAAAGAAGATTGCTTCTTTTCACTCAGTGTCAAAAGGGAGAATATTTCACAGACATCTCTGGGGCCCCTAACCTGGGTCCCATTCTCTGGCTGCACTGGGGGCCCCAGTGGGGTCCCTGCCACTCCCTTTCTTGAGCTGGCATGACTGAGTTTTCTGAGGAACCTCAGCCTGCCTCCCTCCAGCCTTGTGATACAGACAGGGCAGAAAGTGCTTTCTGACAGCAGGCCAGAAAACCACAGGCTCAGCCTCGGGCACCTTGCCAGTCTTCTTCTGGTTATAATTAAAGGCAGAGGTTGCTGACTGAAGTCATTTGTTTCGGGGGAGGGAGGACAATCCCCAGAGAGGGAGGACCTCCACAGGGATTCACTAAGGCCGGAGGCACCCCCAAACCCTGGGGGAGATGACCAGAGATAATGGATCCCTCGTTCCAAATGGAGACCAAACTGATTCCATTCCCTTCTCCCACCCACTTCATTCTTCAATGAGCCACCTCGAACTCAGTAACCTGAGACCTTGGGTAAGTTATTCTCACCTCTGCATCTCAATTTCTCTATTCAGAAAATATGGATGCTTAACCATGTATTATGGTGGAAAGAGCGCTGGACTTGGGGTCAGAGGAGCCAGGTACAAGTACAGGTTGAGCTCCTCACTGCCCAAGTGACCCCAGGGTCTCAGTTTCCCCATTTGTTAAGAAACCAGATGGTTTTCTAGGTCCTTCCACACTATGCCACCTTCTGATTAGGATGACTCTGTGGAGGCCAGGGGCTGACTCAACCGGACCAGAATATTGCCTTCCCTCCAGTTGGCCTCCGGCCCCTTCTCACCAATATCAGATTCCAGTTCATTCTACAACTGTTTTTCCATTCCTCCCTCAAAATCTCCACCACTCTCCTCCACTCCCATCCCCCAAAAGACAGCTTTTTTGGGTTTGGATGGGAGGGGGGAGGCTAGAAAAGGGCGGAGCTTGGTGTGGATGGGGTGTGGCTAAAGGGTGTCACCAGCTTGATTGGCCACCCCTCCAAGAAAGACTTCGAAGATTCCGTCGGTCCCGCCCCTGAGGTACGCCCCCTCCTCTTTTGCCTCTCTCGATTGGCGAAAAGTGCGAGAGGGCGGGGAGGGAGGGTGACTTAGCCGAAGCTCGGAGAGGGGGACCTGCTATATAAAGGGTCGGACAACGCCCTGAATTACCATCCGTGCAGTTGGACGTTATCCTTCGGGATCCTTTCGCAGCCAGGAGAATCGCCGCAGCATTTCTCATCTTCTGTCATGGCCAATGTGAGTGCGCCAGGGGCTGCTAGTCTAGGGTATAGCCTGAGGGTCCGGGAGTAGGGGCTTCCTCCGGGCTTGGGGCTTGTAAAGAAGCCGGGAGACTTGAGAAGGGTGTGTCCGGGAGGGGCTCTGTACGGGCTGGGCCTTCTCTTCTTCTCTAATCTCACACCCGGACCACTCCAGCTCTTGCAAGGGCTGCCCTCCCTCCCCTCCCCCTTGCAGCTGTCCGCGTCTCTGGCTGCTGGTCCCAAGAGCTTAGACAAACTGCCAAGTCCAGAGAGATCTTGGGGAGAGGGGAGCAAGAGGGGAGTGGGACTTGGCATGAGTTAGAGTTAGGGTGTCACCTGGCCGTGAGGAGGTGGGGTGGGGGTTGGCTGTGAGGGAATCGTTTTTCTTGAGTGTAGACAGAAGGGAAAGTGGCTAGATGACGGAGAGGGGGAATGGGGGCAGAGATGAATCTTCTGCCAGAGGGTGAGACTTTCTGGAATGAATGATTGTGTTACGGAGTTAACTCCTACCCAGCCTGATGGTACAGAGAGAGTCCAGGATGAGGAGGCTCCACTGGAAAAGGAGATGGCAGAAGGGGTGGGGCAGGGAGCAAGAGATTCCTACCTCCCCCCTCCCCACCACGCCTTTAAAAATGAGACCGAATTAGCCTCACAAATAAACTTCTTGTCTCTTCTCTGGGAAACCAGCGCACGAGATTCCCCTCACCCTGCCCCCAAATTACTTCTACATTGATTTAGAACAGGAAGAGACCACACATCTGTCCTGACTGCTTCCCTTACCCCTCTCCTAAGGGGAGGTAGGAGCGAAGGCACAGAAGAAGCTAAGCTCCTTTCCCTTATTTCTGCCAAGTCACCCTCGATTCCCCATTCTTTCTGAACCTCCCCCTCCCTTGCCAGCTCCCCTTCTCCTGGGCATGGCTGGCTCCTGCCCTAGACTGGGACCAGGACTTAGATCTGGAGAAGCTCTTCCTGCAAACTTTTCTGGGGAGGAATTCCTTCCCTGCTTAATCAGATGAGGACAGCTCATGAGGAGAGCAGGACAATGGGGATATGGGGGAGGCAAGGTAAGGATGACCTACCTACCAGGGAGTTACCCCATTGAGCTATAGTCTGTCTCCTACCCTTTGGGTAGAACCATGGTAATCGTTTCCCCAAGGACCAGGATACATGTGATGCCAGCCTAAAATGGTACTGGGGTAGCCATTCGGACAAAGAGAGCATGGGCCTGGCACTTGGGAAAAAATTTGATTTCCAGTTCTGATTCCGTTGCTCACTTGTGGGACCTGGGACAGGTCCCCTCTTACTCTTTTGAGCCTCAGTTTCCTGATCTGTAAAATGAGGAGTGGACTGGATCAATCATCTAGGTTAGTCCCCCATTTAACAGATGGGAAAAGTGAGGCCCAGAGACCCCAAGGGGCTTCTCCAAGATCACAGAATTAAGACTGACTCCCATTTCAGCACTAACCAATCTGGAGGAGCCTGCTTTTCTCGAACCTTCTTGGAGGGTGGCCCCACCCAAATGGAAGCTCTGGGTCTTCTTAGCTCCCAGGCAGTCCTAACCTCACTATGCTTGGTCTCTTCAGGAAATGATTGCCACTAACTTGGACCTCCAACCTGGAGTGTGCATAAAAATAGTAGGAGATGTGCCCCCTGATGCAAAGTGGTAAGTGGGAGATGGGAGGGATGAGACTGAGGTCCTGAAGTCCTCATGTGTGTCCTTGGCCTCTGTCTCGCTCTGTCAGCCTCTTCAGCCCCTCTGCAGGAGCTAGGCAGGCGGGAGGCGTGGCTTGCCCACTCTTGGGGCTGCAGTTGACCCATTCCGGTGAGAGGGGGGTGGAGGGGCAGGGGTAATAGAAAAAGCAGCATCTTCTAGAATGAATCACTTCCTGCCAAATCCTCGCAGGGCCCCAGGCTCCTTCTCTCCAGCTCCTCCTCCCACCCATTGAGAAGTCAAGCAATATCACATTGTGAATTACAGAGTTGATTTGAAGGGTATTTTGAGATGTGTGACCCAGGGATCAAGAGGGCTCCTGTTTCTGGCTACCAACCCCCTCAAGCTTTTGGTTATGCTTAGCAGTAACCACCTGCAGGGGCTTCTGGGAAGTTGATTCTAACCTGGGGGAATGGGCAACATTACCTAGGGACCTGCCCATTCCATCTATGCACTGTGAGAGATGAGATAAATAAGGCAAAATACTCACCCTGAAGAAGTGTAATGTTTAATTGGGGTATGGAGATAGACCCATATGAAGCAGGTATGTTATAATCATTAATAATTCTTTCACTTAGCAGGGGTTTTTTTTAAGGTTTACAAAATCTTTCCCTTATAACCCTGGGAGTGATTATATACCATAAAATATCTGAGCCTGGAGGAGCCTTGGAAGTCATCTCATACAACCTTCTTCTTTGGGGGGAAAATGAAAGGAAATTGAGTTTCAGGGAGAAGTGACTTATCCAAGGTCACACAGTGAATGCGTCAGCAGCATAGATGATTTGTCCAATAAAGCACTCATTTTCCCTGGCTCCTAGCCCACTCTGCTGACAAATAACCTCAGCAGTCACCAGGTGATGGATGCCAAGACAACAGCTTGTGCAAAAAGCTGAGAGAGAAAAGTCACTGTGAACTAGGTAATCAGGGGAGGCTCCCTAGAAGAAGAGGGATTCAAAGCTCAAGCCTCCAGGGAAAGCCGTTCTACCCAAAGAAGGCTTTTCTTCCAGACACCCTCCAACATATGCATAATACAATTCAACAGACATTAAACAGTTGGAAAGGGTTGGCTTGTGTTTGAGGAGGAGCGTCTGAGGCCAGCACTCAGGGATGTGCTGATACATGTTGAACAACCAGCTCGGGGGCAGGGGAAAAGGTTTGTACCCTACTTTTAAGTTTAATTTTCATTATTACCATCTTCTCCATCACTTTCTGTTTTTGTTTTTTTGGTTAGGCAATGGGGTTAAGTGACTTGCCCAGGGTCACGCAGCTAGTAAGTGTTATGTGTCTGAGGCCAGATTTGAACTCAGGTCCTCCTGAATTAAGGGCCGGTGCTCTATCCACTGCACCCCCTAGCTGCCCCTTTGTTTTCTTTTTGTTTGTGTTTTTTTCATCACTTTCGTAAGTCTAGACAATTAATAAAACAAAAAATTCAAGCACGACTGGTCACGCTTGCCAGTTTCCAAGGCACTGGTGCTCACAGCAAATGTAACGCCGGGTGAGAGCTCGATCCTGTATATACCACTTGTACTCGATCCTTGCTTGAGCGTCAGGAAAAACTTCCGAATAGGAGCTACCCAGTACCTGGAATGGACAGTTTGGATAGGTAGTGAGCTCCCCGTCTCTGGAGGTAGTAAAATACATACCATGGTCACATGTTGAACAGGGTCGAGGTAGGAGGGGTGCTGCAGAAGAGAAGCCATGTCAGGTCAGGATAGGGTGAAAGTCCCTTTGGGGGTCTTCTAGCTCAGGGATTCTCTGAGTGGGGATTTCTAAGGCTCTGGCCCCCATGATAATCAAGGAGATGTGTTCTTGATCCCCAGCTTTAGGGTGAACCTGGGCAAAGATGAACATAACTTTGCCCTGCACTTCAACCCACGCTTCAACGCCTGTGATGATACCAACACCATCATCTGCAACTCCAAACAGGAAGGCTCATGGGGCACTGAGCAAAGGGAGACCAACTTCCCCTTCCTGCCAGGGAGCAGGGTGGAGGTAAGACCCCAGAATCAGAGCATTGTCAGAGCTCCTGAGGACCCAAGAGAGCATCTCATCCCTGCCTTGCATTTGACAGAAGAGCCCTGGAAGCAGACTCTGATGGGCAAAAGATGAAAAGCTAGAGGGGAAAGGCGTCAGTGCGTTTCCAAAGGGCAGGGCAAGAGGTCCAGCATCCCTTGAGTTGGGTGAGGGGGCGAGAAGAAAGGGAGGGAGTTGTGACAAACCCTGGTCCCAGTAGGATTAGAGAGGACTCTGGGGTGTCCCAGGACACAAATAGGACCCTAGATGTAGAGCTGCAAGGAACCTCAGACACAGTCTAGGCTGACCCCCTCATTTTACAGAAAGAGAAACTGAGGCTCAGAATAAAGAAATGCTTTGCCAAAAGTCACTCAATGACTTGTAGTAAATGTCTTGAGGTAGAATTTGAATCCAAGCCCAGGGTGCTGTGCTCAGCTTCTTCTTCCCTCTCCTCATTCAGGTTTGTATGACCTTTGAAGGGAATCAGTTTACTGTGAGGCTGCCTGATGACTCTCAGATAAGTTTCCCCAATCGACTTAACCTAGAAACAATCAACTTCTTACAAGTTGGTGGTGACTTCAAGCTCAAAACAGTGGATTTCGAATGAGCCCTCCAGTCAAGGCAGCTTCAGACCCTATTCCTGACTCTTGGGTCTCTCTTATTACTAATAAAAGTGCTAATGATAACAGCTGACATTTTCTGTGTTATTGCGGTCTGGGGATATAGAGAGTTGGGTTTGGAGTTGGGAAAAATGGCTGAGTTACCCTGGATAAGTCCCTTCACTGCAGTGGTCCTTTGGTGACTCTCTGGGATGGGTTCTCCATCTGCGGTCTGTGGGTAGTTTTCAGATGGGAAAAAATGCCTCCTTTAGTCTCATCAGCTGCTGGTTTTTCTCGTTTTACTGTGCATTTTTATATATTGAAAAATATTATTCTAATTGCTATTGCATTGCTTGCCTTTTAAATGGGTAGGGGAAGAGTGAGAGGGAGGGAGAGAAATAAAAATTTTTACAAACGAATGTTAAAAATACATTTTAAAAAACCTTCACAAAATGAAAAAAACCCCCACCACATTATTCTGAGAAGGGGTCCATGGGCTTCCCTAGATCGTCAGGAGCCCAGGCCATAACACAAAAAAGGTGACAAATACTTAGAAGTCCTAGACAATCCAGAATTAGCAATGGGGAAGGGATTTCCCACAGTAGTAACTGCAGGAGAACCTCTGCATATTAGTGAAGGGAGGGGCCCAGAACACAGACAGTGGGCAAGCCCAGCTGCTGGAAAGGTGCTGAATACAAACCAGGGAAGCACTGTGTCCCTTTGAGGACCAGCCTAAGGAAGCTCAGAGACATCTGGAGGCAAGATGGGAGGAGAGTGGAAAAACATTCACTGGCTCTGGAGTCACAGGTATTGGGTTTGAATTTGACCTCTGATCCTCACTGCCTAAGTGACCTTGGAGAAGTCCCTGGGCCTGTTTCTTCAGGGGTAAAATGAAGAGCTTGACTTCCAAGGCCCTTCCAGCTTGCTACACCTGTGCTCCTGTAGGCCCAAGTCATTCCCCTGCCTCAGTTTCCTCCTTGTAACATGAGGAAGTTGGACCTGATTGCCTCTGGGGTCCCCTCTGTGAGCCTTTGATCTCTCCTCTTCTCTTCTGCAGTATAATAAATTCTTTGAGTGTCCCATACATTCATGTGTCTTCCACCCTCAACTCTCAGCACAATGCCCTTTACATACTTGGACCCTTTAAAAGCACTAAACCCTAGATTTAGGGCTGGAAGGGGCCTTCCAGGTCAGAGTCTATACCCTTCATTTTACCACTGAGGAAACTGAGGGAAGGAAGTGATTCACCCAGCTCGTAAGTGCCTGAAATGGGATTTGAACCCAGACCTTCCTGACTCCAAGCCCAGCGCCCTAGACACCATGAATCATAAAGCTGGTTCTGAATCCTAGCTCCCACACATTGTAACTGTGTGACCACAGACCACTCACTCAGCCTTTCTGAGTTTTCATTTCCTCATGCATCAATGGTGAAAATGGCACTTCTTAGCCACCTACCAGATTAAGATTGTTATGAGGAACATGATATAGAAACACTAGAGACAGGGAAGCTCTTCCTATTGGGAGTGAGAAGAGCTGGATTCAAACCCTAGCTCTGCCCTGTACTGCCTGCAGAGATCCACACCCCCCAGTGCAGAGACATTCTCTGTAACCCTTATGATGAGCCGATGCTTGAACATCATTAAAGATGGCAGTCTTAACCAGTTCCACTGTCAGGCAGCTTTGATTTTGAGGAAGTTCTTCCTTATTTTGAGGCAAATCTAGGCTCCCTGTAACTTGCACCCACTGGTCTCCCTCTGAGGCCAGGAGCATTAAGGCTAATCTCTTTTCCGCATGATAACTCCTAGAATACAAGTACAGACCAGGTTCTGGGCTCCCTGTCTCCACTCACACTCAGACCAGCAGGTTAGGTCCACATTGGTTGGTGGCTCTTTCTGTCCCTCAGGATCCTAAGGGTAACCTTGAGAGGTGCTATTTCTTTCCCAAGGCAGCTTAAGATTGCCAAAGTTTTTGGGGAGCTTCCATGTAATGCTGTTGACTCACACTGGGCTTGAGGTCCACTCAGATTCTCAGATTGTTTTCTCACATGTATCACTGCCCAGTCATACTTCCCTTAGCTTATAATAGCAGCCACTGATCTTTCCACAGAGTTTTAGGGTTTGCCAAGCACTTTACCCATAGAAATCACATTGGATCCTCACACTGACCCTGGGAGATTGGTTAAGCTCTTTTCTCAAAAGAAAAACTGAGACCCAGAAGGCTGATTGATTCACTGATTCATCAACAAGAGGTATCATGGGCAGGATCTGAACCCAAGTTTCTTCCTGATCCTGGGCCCAAGACTCTGTCCACTCTAGGTGAAAGGTGGCATGCCCTAGAAGAGAGAGCCCTGAACTTGCTGGATTAGAGAAATTCAGGCTCATGTCCTGCCCTAGACACTTATAATGATGTGACTGCAGGGGATGTGTGGGTGATCAGGGAAACCTGGCACCTCTGGGGTGAGGGCTGCTCACCCACCTGCCACCTGACTCTCACCTGTGGCTCCAAGAATAGGTAGGACATTGAGGTGCTGTATTGAATTAAACTGCCAAGTATTGAAACTCTACTGCAGAGAGGGCAACCAAGATGGCCCCATTGTTGGAATGCCAAACGTAGGTTTGCCTAAAAGACTATTTTACAGAGAACTCACACAGAGGTCAGAGGAAGTGGTTAAGGACACTGCCAAGGTCTCTCTGAAGAATTTTGGGAGCCGCTGGCACAGGACTGCCCAGTGTAGCATGCCCACCTTCCCAGAAGGCACTGTGGCCTGCAAAAAAGGCAGAATTGCAGGAGCTCAAAAGAAACATGCGATGTTCGAATTTAGAGACGTCTCTTCTCCGTATATTCATGGGTACTGTTTGTGCCCAAGTGCAGTAGAGCGCTCAGAGCTTGTGTTCCTCTGATCAGCCACAGTCAGACACTCCTTACCCTGAGGTCAGCCTAGTGATGTCATTTTGGTCCTCTTTGAGCCCAAAAGGCAACAACCATGTGAATGCTAACAATTCGTTCAAGCTAGCTGAGCCTCCCTTTGCCAATTTTTTAAACAGGCATCCTAATCAAGCTTCCTTTATAGGGCTGTTGGGAGGCGCAATAAAAACACTGGGGTGTGTGTGTGGTGTGTGTGTGTGTGTGTGTGTGTGTGTGTGTGAGCGTGCTCAAGGTCAGAAAGCTAGTTAAGTATCTGAGGCAGGCTTTTCCTAACTCCAAATCCAGTGCAGTGTGCCCCATGGCGCCCTCTAGCGGCTCTGGCTTAGTGAAATAACGTTGTGACTTTGCTTGTATTTGGGTCCATCTTCAGGGCAAGGATCTATGGGAGTGTAAATGGAGGGAGTGACCCCAGTGGGACCCCCTAGTGCAGCCAGAGAATGAGACCCAGGCTAGGGGCCCCAGAGAAGTCTGTGAAACACCCTCCCTTTAGACACAGAGAAAAGAAGCGATCTTCTTTTCCCCATCTCCCCTACTCTTTAACCCCTGTCTCTCATGAAGGGGACCGGAGGGCCGGGAGAGACAGCTGCAAGTCACTTCCATTCTCTGATCCTCTGTTTCCTCATCTGTAAGCTAAGACCCTAACAGAGTTAAAAGCAGGGCATCGCGGTGACTAGAGATGCCCTCCTTCAAAGTCAAGAAGATCTGGGTTCAAATCCTACCTCCCAAGTCACCTAATTTCTCAGTGCCTGAGGTCACTCTCTAAGATAGGGGTTCTTAACCTGCGGTTCACAGATCTCTCTGGAGTCCATGGATAGAGTACAAGAGATTTGTGAACTTGGAGAGGAAAAAAGAAATTGTATCTTTACCCTTCCTGAACTTTAACTGAAATGCACTATTTCCTTCCACTCCTGAAAAAGCAAACATTTTTCTAGGGAGGGATTCACCAGACTGCCCAGAGGGTCGGTGATATATGTTGGGTTTTTGGGGGTTTTTTGGCTGGGCAATGGGGTTAAGTGACTTGCCCAGGGTCACACAACTAGTAACTGTTATGTGTCTGAGGCCAGATTTGAACACAGGTTCTCTTGACTTCAGGGCCAGTGCTTTATCTACCATCTAGATGCCAATGAGGGTCGGTGATACAAATCAGTCTAAATACATCTGCTCTAAGACTATGTAGACTTGGATGGGGAGAAGGGAGGTTGCTTACCTGGAAATTCCCTATACATACCTTCCCCCAAAGACCACACTGCTATCGGGGAGAATGAGAGGAGGGTGGGGGAAGACTTTATTTTTCCCTCACTCAGGACTTCAGGAAACCTTAATTGTAGGGAAGAGATGTGAGGCCAGATGTGCCAGCTGGGCCTAGCCCAGCCTCATAGATGTCATCTTCCACCTAGATGGGCTACAGATGAATTGGCAGCTTTGAACATAAACACACACACACACACACACACACACACACAAAACCTTTTCAAGAGCCAACTTTCCACTGTAATGTCATGTGCCAAACAACTATATTTTACATAATGGGAAACTGAAGCCTAAGGAGGCTTCTCCCTCCCCTAGCAGGAGCCCAATTGAGGCAGTGTCCATACTGGTCAGTAACTCTCTGAAATCCCTCCATGATTCTACCAGTCAATAGGAGGCCAGGAAATTTTGCCCTACATAGGATCCTGGGATTTGGGTCTGGCTGAGACCTTAGAAGCCACAAGATTATAAAACTGTGAGTAGAAAGGACCTTCTAGGTCAAGTTGGTCCACTTCTCCTGGCTGTGGGTGTCTCCAGCCTTACTGAACATCAGTGGAGGTCCCCTATGTCTGTTTTTATAAGGAGAGAAAGTCTGGCAAGGTGCCCGAGGCTGAGCCTGTGGTTTTCTGACCTGCTGTCAGAAATCCCTCTGCCCTGTCTGGATCATGAGGCTGGAGGGAGGTAGGCTGAGGTGCCCCAGGAAGCCCTGCCATGCCAGCTCAAGGAAGGGAGTGGCAGGGACCACAATGGTGCCCCTGGGTGCAGCCAGAGAATGGGACTAGGGCTAGGAGCTCCCCTTAGACACCCACAGACCCTTCCTCTGACAATGAGACCCAAAGAAACAGAGGTACGAGGTCAGAGGTAATAGCACCAATTTCCAAGGAACCTCAGCCGGCCTCCCTCCAGCCTCATGATGGAGAC